TTGAAAACCATTTCATGCCACTCAGTGTGTCAAGTGTGTCATCGATTCTTGGTAACGGGTAGCTATCCTTCTTTGTTACATCATTCAATCGTCGATAGTCTACGCAAAACCTCGTTGAACCATCTTTCTTCTTGACAAGCACGACAGGTGAACACCAAGGGCTAGAAGAGGGCTCTATCACGTCATTTTTCCTCATATCGTCAATCATTTCTTCAACCTCTTTCTCACGAGCGAATGGTATACGTCTGGGCCTTTGACGAATTGGCATTGTATCACCTGTGTTTATTTTATGCTTCACCAAACCAGTTCGGCCAATATCACCATCGCTTCTTGAAAACACATCAGAGAATCGAAGAAGTAAATTTCTAGCTTTCATAGTCTCCACTTTTGTCAGACTTTTGTTTTCGTCTAAGATTTTCGTTACAAAGTCTATTCCCGTACTGTCCTTCTTCACAAGATTTTCCGAGCATTTTCTTATCCAGGCCACTTCTTCCAATACGCCCACAGGCTCTCCTTCTTCAATCGTAATTTCTGAATCACTGAAGTTGAATACCGGAATGCGGTTAACATCAGATGACCCCACGACAGTTCTTGCCGGTAGCCATGAGTTTACGTGTTCCGATTTATCAATCACAGCGCACCTTCGAGGTAAACTTCCTTCCCTCCTCCTAGGTAATGCAATTGGTACGAGAGTCTGTGATTTTGGTGCAAGAACAGTTCTTCTTAAACAGCAAACTTTTCCCAGGGTTCCACCCTTCATCGGAATTTTCTCAGTTCCACATAGTAATACTCCAGATTTTAGGTCGATGTTACACTGGTGCCCTTGCAGGAAGTCAAGTCCCAGGATGCAGTCATCCAGAATTTTGGCCACAATAACCTCATGTCGATAAACACGTTCCCCAATTTTGATTGTTACATGCAGTTTTCCACTTATCGGTATGCACTGGCCGGTAGCTGATTTCATTTGTAGGCCAACAATTGGTTTAAGGTGTTTCCTGATGTTGTGCTCGAGCAGCCGAACATTTATCACCGTCCTTGAAGCTCCAGTATCTAATGTTAGCTGACTGTTTTTCCCATTTACTTGACCGTCTATCACCAGAGTATTTCCATCGTTGGTTTGCTTGATGTAGATTGTTGGGGTTGTTCCACTACCAGCCGGCGCCCACCCCGCAGCCCTGGCTGGATTTAAGTTTCCCTGCTGGTCAGAAGTTGAGACCGCCGCGTCCTTGCGGTTCATCTTCTTCGGGCAGTCGCTCCGTATGTGCCCACGCTCTCCACATCCATAGCACATGAAGTTCCGACGGCGTGGAGGTACCTGCTCCGTTGTCGTCATTTCCCGCAGACGTAAGGTACGGGAGTTGCCACGCACGGCTTCCACTTCCAATGCATGGGCCAGAGCTTCTTTCATGATCTTGTGATGGCCCAGATGAACAGCAGCTCGTACTTCTGGGTCCCGAATACCGTCAATGAACGCTTGGAGAAGCGTGCCTTCAATCATTGACGGAGTCGACCGGAAAGCTCGACGTACAAGTTTCTCGATTTCCACGGACCATTGCTGTAGGCTCTCATTAGCACGCTGAGTACGCTCTTTTAATTGCGCTCTGTACACGTGCTCGAGGTGGCTGTCTCCAAAACGTGCTTCAAGTGCGTCGAGGAGGGCACTAAAGCTGAGATCCCCACTTGCGCCGATAGCTTCCAGCACTGAGAGCGCTTGATCACGGAGGGCCAGGGTAAGGGCTGACTGTGCTTCCTTCTGAGTCCAACCATAAGCCTCCATAAGTGTCTCAAACTGTAGCTTGAACGCAGTCCAGGATGTTGTTCCGTCGTAATGGGGAATCTTGAGCCCTTTCGTTGCGCTTAAGGCCGCATTTGGGGCGTCAAAAACGGCTGCAAGACGGCTTCGGCTCTTCAAAGGGCTTGGGTTTGTCACTTCCTGCTTGATTTTGGAGATCTCTTCTTCCAGTCTCTCCTCTATCGCCATGACGCGAAGTTTCAACTTGCCTAACCCTTCCTCCACTTCTTGTACCCGTTCGACAGCCTTTTGCAGTCCCTTCGTGAAATCTTTATGCATGTCCTCCAAGCGACGCGCTTGCTCCTCTTGGCGACGAGCTTGATCTTCTTTCAGCTCCCGCAGCTGTTCTGACTGACAGCGTGCTTGCTCTTCTTGGCGGCGCGCTTGCTCTTCTTGGCGGCGCGCTTGCTCTTCTTGGCGGCGCGCTTGCTCTTCTTGGCGGCGCGCTTGATCTTCTTTCAGCTCCCGCAGCTGTTCTGCCTGACAGCGTGCTTGCTCTTCTTGGCGGCGCGCTTGATCTTCTTTCAGCTCACGCAGCTGTTCTGCCATCATTTGCCGCAGCTGTAGCAGAAGATCCATCTGCACAGGCTTGGCTTCTGCATCGCTGGTCTGAGCTGCAGCACCCTCTTCCCTCACACGCTGCGCTTCTGACATAGCACGGGTACTCACTCCTCTTACGTCCTGCGGCACTAGCGGCATTTTTCTCCAATCCCACTTCTGACACCAAATGTTACGTGCCTGACGTCACGTTCCTGACTATGCGGGCTTGGGTTACGGGATTGGATGAAATGAAACACTAATACCGGTTTTCAGACTTTCTATTGCACTTAAGTTACAGCGTCCACGGAGTTAAGTTATCGGCGTTCCTCTCCAGCAGAGTCCGGCCGACTGACACAACTTTGCCGTTCACGCTGACTTAACTCACTTAACTGACTGCACTTCACTATTTCACTGCACTTCACTATTTCACTCACTTTTCTTCTTTCTCACTTCTTCCTTTTCTTCCGAATCGCTTTAGACTTAGAACTCAACTGCCAGCGGTGAGCCGCAGTTCCGCTTATATACCCCCGGTCAGGTTCTAGAACATTCAATTTCGTTATTCTTTTTGATCGTCATGCCTCCAGAACCTTCCAATAATTTCGTTATTCATTTTTATTTATTCTCCTTCTCGCTCCTTAATTTTTCATTACTTTCACTCAAATATTCCAGAAAGTTCGACAAAACTTCCATCAACTAAAAAACTTCATGTTTACGGCGGGACTCGAACTCGGGGTCTCTGTGGTGTAATCCACACGCCTTACCGATTACACTAACTCGTGTTGACAATTCACGACGAAATTTACAATCTCTAGGCAACGTTTGACAACCATCCATTGACGTCATGATGTCAAAGAGTTTTCTGTCACAATATTTATATTTGTTAAGTATGAGTAGATGTGGACCTACTATGTTTTATTATTAATATCGATTCTGCAGTTTACAAGTATTTTTAGGAATTTTATTTGTTTCAAAGGAAGATAAATTTACTAAACGTTGTTCCACTTTTCGTCTATGCCTGTTCATAAAGCATACTTAACGACATCATTCTATTTATAAGCTGCATTTCAGATAGCAAAGTACCTAGATACATCTTTATCTAAGTAATTGTTATAACTACGCCGTCATTATCAGCACAATTATTACAAACACAGTTAAAAATAGAAGAAAAATATGTAAATATCATGATAATTGAGCAGTTAATTATATGCAGTTACTGCATAGTTTAACTGTCAAACGTGTTGCATATAACTAACGATTTAGTTATAAAACTGACCCAGTTATTATTGCAGTGTCATTTGAATGCATAATTACTCACTGTTTTGCGTTAATTAAAGACCAAGGAGTATTTAAATGTAGTTATTAAAATTAATACCATCACTCTCAATATCCAAACCCAAACTAATATTATAAATGTGAAAGTAACTCTGTCTGTCTATCTTTTCTTCACGCCTAAACTACTGAACCGATTTCTGTGAAATTTGGTACAGACATAGTTTGGAACTCGAAAACCAAGTTTGTAGTTGTAGTACAAAAATCTGCAGAAAGTCACTATTCAACGCGAACGGAGTCGCGGGGAAAAGCTAGTTCCTTCTCCTGCTCTGGGCCGAGGTCGCAGTGCCTCATTGCGCTTACCCCGCAACTCTGGCTGAATATCAGCTCAATAAGGCCCCGTCTGTGGTGGTCTATTTGGCTCTTTGAGGCGCGCGGAACGCTACGCGCCGTACGCTCGGGTCTGGTTCTGGTCGGGCGGCGAGCTACCCTTACTCGCCGTCCGCAGACCCGCGCTTACGGTGGCCGGAGATCGTCTCTTGGTATACATCTGTAAACTAAGGTGCCATACTAGCTATAGTTTCAAAAATAGTTTTTGACATACGTACGGACAGATAGACAGTCAAAAATGACGATTTTAAACAGCTTCGGATACTATGAAATAAATATTAAACTTGTTAAAAGTCGAGTATTTGAAGAAGAATAGGACATTGACCATATTTGACTTAACAATTACATTAAGTAAAAGCCCATTTGAATTTGCTATCGTATCTTTAAGAAAACAAATAAATTTGTGTGTGGACTTGTGTACATACATATAAAGTATATATTATGTGTATCCGTGTCAAAGGCTATCGAACTGCTGATATAGGGTTCAATTGGTATCTATAACTTCTAGTTGTTTTTTTTACATTAATAAAATTAATCCTTTAGATGCCTTAAATATTTTGTCAAAATTACACCTTAGTGTTCTGTTAAACGAACAAGAGCAGTTTATAGCCCAGCGCGTAGATTTAGCAAGGGAGGAAAATCATCAAATGGCTCCTCTTGCCCTATGTGGAGCTAGAGGGAGTGTCAGACTCTTACTGACTAAAAACCTTCTTGTTCCTTCTCCGGCTCGATGCCGAGGCCACGGTACATTATTGTGCTTACATCGCAACCGAGCTGTTTAATGATGTGGTTACAACACAACACCAACTTAAACGAATTTTGCAGCCGCAGTTGAGATAAAAAGTCGCTTAAGTCCAAATTATCAATATTTATAGTTAAGACAGAACTGTCAGTTATTTTTTTGTAAGATGATGAAAGGTTTTTCCTACTACAACACAAAACAATGTAAGCACATCGCATTCGTTATGTAATTATTCAAATTGAAATAACCCTACCTCTTTAATTCCAGTTACACAAAACACGACATATCTTCACGTCCTGAACGCCACCATTGATGAGCTGGACGTCTCCCAGGCCATGTTCCGAAGACTAGCTTCCATGGCCTTCACTGATGGGAACATCGACAAAATTGTTGGTAAGTTACCTTGAACACTGGAGTTTCAATCTTATTCCTTTTTACATAGGTTTGGAAAAGATTATTGTATCTAATATTAGTTGATACCTTTATGTTTTGATTCTTAAATCCTTCTTAACTGTCTAATTTGAAGTACCTAATATTACTAACCTGACCTAATAATTTTATTTTCTCGCTTTTCTAATTGATCAGTCGCACGGAAGGAAAGTATGGATATTAACATTACCAGTGAGTACCTATAAAACAATTTAATTCCATTCATCATTGACACCACAGAGTACACAGACCTTAATTTCCTATTTAGTTTACCTTGTTACTATTAACCATTACTCAAACAAACTAATAATAAACTAACGATAATATTGTAAGTGTGGGAGAGCCATGCTTTGGCACGAATGGGTCAACTCCGGAGTGACGTCACGGCCTTACAGATAACCGGCGTGAAACAACCACAGTGTTGTATTTCGCCGTATGAGAGAGGTTACCGGAGGTCCAATCCTTCCCCGCCCCCAATACCTCCCCAATCTCTAATACCCAAAACGTAACGAAATAATTGGCTGTGGTGGTTTGAAACCATGTGTTCATAAATACGCGACATATGTGGTTATACTTCCCTCATGAAAAAAAGAAGCGAGAGAGACATAATGAATCATACGAAAATTTTGTCAATCAAGATAAATGTTGGGATTTCCTGCAAACCTAGTCTAATATATGATAAAACGCCCTTGTCTCACTATCTTTTTCCAGGACAGTTTCCGAAACACTCATCAGTAGCGTGTCTGAACATCTCGAATAACAACCTGACGAGTGCCAAGCTGCAGCCTGCCATCCAGAGGCCGTACGCCTACCTCTTCAACTTGAGCGTGCTGGACGCGTCTGCAAATAACCTCACAGAGTTCCCATTAAGCCTGGTCCACAGTAATCGGAAGATTTCTGTAGATTTGTCAGGTGAGGGAGAAACATTTTACGTTTCTGTTTTTGTATAAGTAATAACCAAATCAAAATATTGGTTAATAATTCAAGTCTTCGAATCACAAACAACTCGTGGTCATAGGTTATCAAGATTCGTGTAATAATATTTATTTTTCTATTACAATCAATCAAGGTAATTTAGCCCTTTTTCATAAATCTCCAATCTTCAATACTTCAAAGAAAAATATTCTATTCCCATTAAACTGTAAATCCACCTCCACAGGTAACAGGTACCTCCCCTGCAAGAACTTCATGAAGGCGATGGAAGCCAACAACTCGTCTTCGGTGACCTTCCTCAACTACCGGGACACCTACTGCGCCCTGGACATCAGCTTCAACTGGTTCAAAGATGTCAGAGTAGTCCAGATTGACCATCTGAGGATACAGAAAGAGGTAGTACGTATTCGTAGTTAACTTCTCCTTTTATTTCTTCTTGGATGATCCTACGACTGCGCTCCTTCTAAGGTACTCTACAAATTAATTATCTGTGTACATTAACTTGACTGCCATCATTGTCCTGTCCTAACCTACCGGCTTGGTCTCTGTAATCATTCATCTCTTTACTAACACAATTTATTTATTCTTAATCTTTTTTTTTATACACTGTCTCATTCTTTGTTTTCTTATCAATGTTTATTTTTTTTTGTTTGCCTATTATCGCAATCGATGTGTAATTTTGTTCAGACTGAGTTGCGCTTTAGTAATGTGTTCTTATAAAAATCACTACTAAGATGAAATTGATTCCTTGTTTGATATCTAATTCCGTAGTTAATTCCATAAATGCATTGAAAAAATACAATTTTTCATTGAGCTTTGCAATGTCAACATGTATTTTGTCGTGTTTTGTAAATTAATATGCGTTTTATGTTGTCTTGTGTATTCGTATCTTACAAGCGTAGTTTAGGATCGACATCAGTCGATTCTGAGCCTCATCACTAAATATCTAACGGGAGCATTTGATGTTAAATTCTCCAGAAATCTATTGACAACACAATTTCTCTGATTTCCAGCTTAACGAGAGCTGTCGCAACATAAAACCGGCGAATATAAACTGCACCTGCATTCCGGAGCGGTTGGAGTTCTCCGGCGATGTGATCACCAACCTGGTTGCCGTGGACTGTTCCCAGCGTAACCTGACCTCGTTGCCGACTGACTTGCCACACAACACCGTCAAGCTGAACGTATCTTATAATAACGTAAGTTATGATAACTCCATAATCTAACATGAGAGTGATTATTATGTCCATAAATGTTCAGTGAGTTGAGTTTAAGCTTCTAGAGTAGGGGATTTAGGGCAAATAGGTCAGAGCTGATCAATTGGAGTTCTTGAATAGCTTCCCTTGTGAGTCCAAGAGGCCCAATCACTCCTACTCCCCCCATCCATTCCCAATCCGTAAATATTCGAAATCCTTATCACTAAAAGGTCGGCAACGCACTTGGAACTCCTTTGGTGTTGCTCCATGGGCGGTGTTGATTGCTTAGATACCCCATAAAAAACGAAGTTGTTTTTTCGGAGCTATTGTGTTATAGAAGTTTCAGCTCTAGCTGACAAATTGGTGCTGATAAATTGAAGCCACTTCACACTTCACTTACACAGCATTAAAGAGTAGGTCTAGTCCAGCAGAGGATGGAAACGTAATGATCTTATTCTGCATGTTCCAGATCACCTCGTTGCAAACAGTGGCAGACGACCCCACGTACGAGCACCTGCGGCAGCTGATATTAGACCATAACGATATACCGTACATCCTGGAGCTGGAGGGCACCAAGTTCATTGACAACTTCATGCTGTTCTCTATTGCTTATAATAAGCTGAAGACTGTGAGTGTCATGAATTTCATAGAATTTAATAATTTTGACGATCCATCTTTTGTTTACACTTGTTTTACAACCAAAACCAAACCATGTTAAGCAAGTATGGTTTCTCTGATTTTTTTTGCCTTGGTGGTAAGCCAATTGTTTGTGAGCTTACTGTATCGACGATATTGAAGCTGTCGGGTACGACTGTAAAAAGCAATAACGCCTTAGGCCTAAAAGTTAACCATAAATAACATCTTTAATGTATTGCAGATACACACATATGTGCTGTCGAATCGTTTCTACAAAACGGGGCTGGCGCTGTTGATAGCAGGCAACTACATAAACTGTGACTGTAACACTGAGAAAACTTTGAAGGTAAGGAAGAGGAAGACGTCCTAAACACTATTTCTTGTGACAATAGTTATAACAATTTGTAGAAATGAAAACAACCTGGTTACCTGGCCCAACTTGAAAGGTACATAGGAGTAATGTAAGGCAACTGGTGACAAATGGGAGTAATTAAGATTAATGTGTTAAAAGCCCTGACGTTACGCTATATTTTATAACGAAAAAAACGATTCATGCTAAACCAGGGGCGAATTAGTAGAGTAGGTAGTTCATGCCATTTTTACGTTTGATTTGATCTCTAAGGCTTTCGTTTATGATCTTCTCCATTTTCATAAACTCACTTTAAAAAAAAATTGTTTCAGCCGTGGTTACTAGAAAACTTTAAGAACATCCCTGACTATAAGATGTTGCTGTGTGACGACAAAGTTCCTGTGGTTGACTTGGTTGAGTCACAAGTCTGCCATACGCCTCGCGACTGGACAGATTACATATACTATATCATCGGATTAGAAGTGCTTATCTTAGTGCTTCTCATTAGTAAAGTGTCTTATGACTATTGGGTGTTCAAAACCGCTGGGTATCTACCCTGGCCAGCGAATAAAATGCCGAGATTGCCATGCGATTGGCTATGCGAGTAGGTTGCCGGTTGATTGGCGACCGTCAGCTTTGGTTGGCGTTGGTTGATTGGCAACCAATGACACCAACTCTGCGCAAGCAAAAGACATAAAATTATAGTTTATTTTTTCTTTACGAATGATTTATTAAAAATCCTTGATGAATAAGGATAGATGATGGAAGTGGAGGGGGAATTCTGTCAATTACGATAACCTACCCCACTTGTATCTGTGGTTACTTCAGACTTGTGCCAGAGAAAATAAAGACGATTCTGTATTGGTTGCTTAAAACGATACTTTTTGGACAGTGTTGAATTTTATGATTTGTATATGTGTTGTTGTTTTAATGTGGTGATTTGTCATGTAATGGCTTGCTAATGCTGCCGAAACCGAGTGGTTTCTAATAATATATGCCTGTAAATGTTATTTGTTAAGTTTACCTTCTTATTTACTTTTCGTATCTGTAAATAATATGAATTTCGAGGTTATTTTACGATAGTTATTTTTTTATTAAGTAGTTTATTTTTTATGTTTAAAAGTGCTGCTTGTGTAATTTGAATTTTACAATTTAAGTAGATCTCTGATCTCTGTAAATCAGCTCGTCTATGTACGATTCTATAGGTAAATAAGCGATTTTTGTTTTGTTTTCTTGTTTATAATAGCTTGCCATTTTCGTAAAGAATCTCTCTGATATCTCGATTCAAGTTTTTAATGGCTGTCAAAATAATTGTTTGTCTCACATGTCGGGTTCAAACTTATAGGTACACATTGTATTTTAGAAAAGTGTTTCTGACATTGACATGATTTCTCAGGGATTTGGTTTTCAGGTACCTATTACTTAACTGATTTTTTTTCAGTATGTTCCGCGTGTGCTCTTGGAAGTTGTTTCCAGGTTAAGAAAAATCCTTTATCAGTATCCTATTAAAATGTGTGAAGGTATAGGTTTGTTCTCTGACTTGCCATACCATGGTACCATGGAGCCATGCTATGGTGTAAACCACTCGATAACAAAAGAAGACTGACCTTAGTTTGAATATTTATCCTTGCCAAAACTAAACACAGACCGTTATTTTGGCGTCCATTTTTTCTACGATGGCACTTATTTTGCTTATTGTTACAAAAACATTATAAATACAACAAAACTTTAAACAGTTGACATCTGATCCATGTATTTATTTATTTATTTATTTAATATCTTTATGCACAAAACAAATGTACAAAGGTGGGCTTAATGCCATGGGCATTCTCTGACAGCCAAACCTTTGGATGATGCAGAGATAAATATAAAGGTGCACAAAACAAGCATCATCAGAGACGTTATAAATACATATTATATACTGTAAATATACATACATATGCTTATATATATATACATACATACTATATAATTACATATACTACTTAAAATTATACATATTTTGCTATTTGATGTCATGATCACGATACCTCTGCCAACCTCTTCAAAAGCAACTCCCGAACCTTTTGCTTGAACGCCCAACGATTCGACACCATCCTGACATCGAGGGGGAGCGCATTCCACAGAATAATAGATTGAATAAAAAAAGAAGAATGAAGAAATTTTGTGTGATGAGTTGGACATTGAAGAAGGCGGTTATTAGAAGAACGGAGATACTTGCTGTGGTTTGCGCATGTGTATTGGAAGTAAGGGGATAGATAAGTTGGCGAAGAAGGAGAATCAAGGAAGGAGAACAGAGTGGTTAGCGCCCTTTGCTCCCTGCGCTGGCGTATGGGCAACCACTTTAATTGCAGCCGATGTGCAGAAACATGATCATATTTACGCAGGTTGAAGACGAAACGAATGCAGTTATTCAGAAGTCGGTCAAGTTTATTGAGGAGATCTGCATTCAGGTCATAATAACACACATCAGCGTAATCAATTATGGGAAACAACAAGGCCTGCACCAGCATTGACTTGGTGATGGACGGGAGCAGGTTTTTGGCGCGATAAAGTGCCCGCAACGAACCGGTCACCTTATTGCACACACTGGTGACATGTGCATGCCAGTTTAAGTTACTATCAATAAGTAAGCCGAGATCTTTGACGTCACTACTATATGGAATGATCGCACCGTCGAAAAGGACAGCCGGTAAAGATGCAACGTCCACTCTACTCAGAGAACGAGAGCTCCCAATGACAATCGCCTGACACCATCCATGTAATTGTTTGTTAATTAATAATTTTATTAAAGGTAAGAGGTTGGTATAAGTGGGTACATTTATGAATACGTTGCATACTTTTTCAGTCATTAGAAGTCTATGAAGTGACTTCTAGAAATAATTAGTGTGAGCGGATGTCCATATGTCTATAATTACCTACATTTTTTAAGTAATTGTGTAAGTGTCCATGTATTTGATTTTATTATCATTCTTTATTTTGGCAGGAAATGTAGGTAGGCTCATTTTTATGATTTGATTATGATTTTTATGAGTTTCAAGAATTTTTTTACACACATGTGCATGTGTCACTTCTTGAGTAGGTACCTATCGTGGTACCTATATATTTTGGTAAAAGCGCTCTTTAGCTAAAAATGTGTTCTATATTTGTTTTTTGCTAAATTAAGTGGCCAGTAGAGGCTTGAAATTAAATTTAAGGTTCAATTACCGCTGACTATTTTTGAAGTAGATTTTTGGATACATTTTTATATATTTTGGGGAATCAGTGCCATATTCGAAGGGTGGATATGGCTGGATATCAAATTGTAAGCTGTCATTGTAGCATTTGTTTGGTAAACTGTACCTACTTTTTATATTAACTTGTCCACTGAGGGTATTTTGTTATTTTATTTTGGGCATTAGCCACCTACTTACAAATAAATGCTACAATGTAGTTAAAGAAAAAAAAAATCCGATATCTATAAGAATAAAAGATATTTTTGTAAAATATTAACTACGAAGACTGTATATTTTGTATGAAAATTTTATAATATTATAGATGTTACATAAATTGTACACACGTTGTTTTATTTGTATGAACCGGCTCGAACGGGGTCGCACCACCGCTTTACAGAAAACCGGCGTGAAATATACTTACAGGGTTGTCGCCGGCGTCCCAGTCGTGTCTGTCCCCTTTTCCACAGTCACAGCACCCACATTCCGACGTCATTTGTTGATTTTCCCTCTGAAAAACCCCGTGACTGCACGTCGCATCATGCAAAAATATTTTACTTAAGTACATATTTCAGAGATTTATTTGAATTTAGTACGCGGTAGCAAATACCACAAGCCTTCGAAACAAATGAACATCTCTCGTTTTAGTGCCTTTGTAAATAATTATCTTAAATAATGAACACACTTCCTCATAGAGTGGCTTACTTAAAACTGCAACGGCAATTAGGCACGTAGTGACAGCTTTAATCAAACAGTGACTTTTTCATTATTTAGGTAGGTACTATTTTACTATTCACAAGTGAGTAATAGAGTTTTTTTTAATTATTGGTTGAGTTACCTACGCTTATTTTTGTGCTAAAATGCTACCTGCAAAAAGCCCAAGAAAAAGGCCGATGCGCGCTGAGGAATACTGATTAATTTTTCCCACCCTTACGAAACTATTTCACAATTCGTCTCGTTTTCTCGTATGATGCTTTTTTTTATTTAGGTGATACTTTATTCAGAAGTGTGTTGAAAAATGTCGTAGTTACCTATGATTAACGTGTGAATTGATGATTACCGTCCTTGGCTCTTTAAGACCCTTGCCGGACGGCTCAGGACTCAATGCGTCACAACGGTAATCACTAACATTACCTACACACTTATACCATAATGTACTATTATCTGACCAACTTAGTAATGCATCAAAGAATATTTATGTGAAAGTGATTTAAATAGAGCAAGACCATAGGGTTTTTTGCTCGTGCTTCGAAATCAGGATCTACACTTTGGAACAAGCTAATAGCTTCCGACAGTCACATACATTTTATCTATTATTACCATTGTTGGACTGCACAGCGCCCGTAACGGTCTAATGGAAATCAATGAGTTTGACTTTGACTTTAATTCTGTAATAAATCTTTCGAATTTCTATTTTTCTAACGGCGTAGTATGCAGTGCTGCGCTTTTGATCAGAAATAAAAGCGGGCCGAGAGTCGATCCCTGTGGAACACTTTTTGTAACAACAGATCTGGCAGAAATATATAAATATAAATAGTATGAAGTCCAGTAGCTATCTATACTAATATCATAAATGCGAAAGTGACTGTCTGTCTTTTCTTTGCGCCTACAATACTGAACCAATTTCTGTGAAATTTGGCACAGACATAGTTTAGAACTCGAGAAAGGACATTAGGATAGTTTTAATACGAAAAATCTGCAGGATGTCACTATTCCACGCGAACGGAATCGCAGGCAAAAGCTGGACTCGTTATAAAATAAAACATAAGGTACTTAAAACAACTTATATATTTATTTATGTTTTAACAACTTTCTTATTTTTCTTATTACCTAAGTTTTTCTTTTTTCTCTTTTTATTATTTTTGCTGTCTGCCTTGTTGTCGTGTTTTTGTTTGTTTTGTTCTAAATTCTGTGTTCTTCTGTTTTTATTGTTTTTAGCATTTTTGATTGAGTCTGTAGGCTTAGTTTTATCTGCTTTCATTACTTCGTCAGCAGCTTCTAGTTTACGTCTGCAAGAAATAAAAAAATACTTAGTTTAACTGATGTTTGTTACGTTGGTTAAGTGTAAGTTGGTTCCGAAACCGAACACTGGATTGGCAGTGTTATTAGGATTTTTTTTAAATCTCATCATCATTATCATCAGCCTATAAGTGCCCACTGCTGAGCAAAAGCCTCTTCTCATACGGAGAAGGTTAGAGCATTAATCACCACGCTTGCTCAATGCGGGTTGGCGTGGTTTTAAATCAGGAGGTGGGTTTAAAATCTCAGTAATAATGTAATAACGGAATCTCAATCAGTGGCCGGTATAGTGCTCAAGTGTTCTGCAATACTGCAATATGTTATATAGGCCTGCATGGCTTGTACAATTTTTAATTTTGCTAAATCTTCCAATGACTCTCCTACCAGAGGTAGTGTCAGACTCTTACAGACTGCTAATGGGATTACTGCTACACCCCGTTCCGTCTCTTGCTCCAAACCTGGCTTAGTCATAATTCCTATCAATTTGGACCTAAAGAGGACCTTTTTCTAAGACGTAATTTGTTGTTTTGCCTTTAAAAAATACCTTTTGAACATGAAATGATTATATTTCAACTATAAACTCACTTGTCAGGTCTTTTCTCCAGGCGGGTAGAAATGTTGTCCCTGCGCGGTGCCTTGGTCAGCAACTTCTTACGTTTGTTGGGATTCTGGCGTAGTTGTAACATGTACTCCGGTACCGCACAGCCTGATTGCTGCATTACTGACGCTATGCTGTAGGGGATAAGGTTGTTATTGCATTGGTAATTGAATTTCCTATTGTTATATACTGAATTTTTATATAAAGTAGTTTTTTATACCTGTGTCTTATAACTTTTTAAATGGTTTACCTCTTACTGCTCTCTGTAGGTAAAGAGAGAGTTTCTTTACAAATTATATAAATATATTTACCTCCTGAGATTGGCGACATCGTCCTGAGTGAAGAATGTGATGGCTCGTCCTTTCTGACCTGCACGACCTGCTCGTCCGATCCTGTCAAAGATTTTTATTGATTGACATTAAATACTAGAATAAAAACTGTAGAGAAAAAAATAAAAAAAGTGCAGAATATAATTATGTATTACATTGTAAATAGGATTTCATTAGGACTTCGATAAATAATGATAAATAATAATGCCACATTTATTCAGTAATGGGGAGCATAGCTCAGTTACAGAAACAAAAACATTTAAAATTAAAAGATACTTTCATTGATTAATTATTTTTGAGTTGGTTTTGTGACGGCAAATGGGTTAATATTGTGATGATGATGTAACTTAGTGATGTTTTTGACATTCATAAAAGCAATGCTCAGTAATAATTATTAAAACTATTGTTACTTATTAGGTAAACATTATTTTAGGTATACATTATTAAACCTAATAATGCTTGTTAAATCTGAGGTAATTTGCAATTTCTCAAGATCCACTAAGACTATTGTTTTTATCGAAGTTGTAAACTTAAAAAAGTAATACTTAGTTTCTTATCTAGACTCACCTATGGATGTAGGCGATGGCCGAGGGTGGGAAGTCGTAGTTGATGACGAGGTTCACTCCTCGGAAGTCGATACCACGTCCCATGAGCTCGGTACAGATCAGCACCCAGATCCGACCCACGCGGAAACTTCGTACCACATTGTCTCGCTGGAAAAGATAATGGTTAATTAGGGTCAGTTTGGAATGGAATGTGTCGTCATCTGGCTAATATCTCGCCTGGTGATAAAAAAAAACAATGAAACAATGAATTTATTTTTGCAAATAGGCCATAAAACTGCACTTTTACACGTCAAATTATATGTAAAAAAACTAGATGAAGCCGGGTAAGCGAGGATTCGGCGGCCTTCGATGGCGAACGTAAGCAACCTATTCACTCGGGTCTTTAAGACGCCCAGGTCTACGGGGAACACAGATTATGGCGAAGAATTCCACTCCTTAGCAGTTCTAAGTCAGTACAAAACAAAGAAAGTAAGTCGTAAATAAGTACTAGGTTTTTTTTTAATTGTTGACTGGATGTCGCTGCTCTTGCAAAAGATTCATTTATCCAATCCCTGTAGTTGTTAAACATTTAACGACCAATGGTGTGACTCAAGCTAATTCTCTATTGATGAGACGAGAGTTTTATCTGGTGAACAAAAATTAGTTCACGCTTGCTCCCTTGGATAAAAAACTAGTGTAAATTTGACGTATGAAAAATGTAACACGTATATGGCGACGCACATAGTAACGACAACGTTCAACAGGTGGCGTCACAAGTCCTAGTGTTGCAACGTTATGACACGTAATAAATAGTGACTTTGCGAAATTATTCGATGTGGAAATCGAATATTTCTCAATCGATTCCTCTCGTTTATAAATTTACTCTCTTAAACTAAGTTTATCAGGAAATAAAATATTTCTGAACCGATAATTTAGTTTTGACAATTAATTAACAATTTAAGACTTTTCTTTTGTAATTGTTCGACTGCACGGTTGGTGCGGTGGCCGGGCAACTGGCTGCCGTGCAACGTGTCGCGGGTTCGATTCCCGCACGGAACAACTCTTTGTGTGATCCACAAATTGTTGTTCCGGGTCTGGGTGTCATGTGCATGTGAAATTGTATGTTTGTAACTGCACCCACGACACAGGAGAAAATCCTACAGTGGGGCAACGTTTTTTATAAAAAAAATTTTTTCCTCTTCTTCGACAACATGGGATACGCATTTAGACCATTCGGTAGCCGTAATTTTTTGAATGCCTTCCTGAAATTGATTCACTGATTGTTTATCGATTTTTGTGTTCATCACTACACTGTTATATGTGGTATCATTATTTTACAAAATGACAGTAGGTCATGTCAAATCAGGAATCGAATTAAAATTCTGACTATAGTGAAGTTTGCGCGCCAATAGACACGAACAGAAAATTCTAACGTACTAGTGTTGGGCAGTAGCCCGCCAGGCGCGATCACCTCGTTTGGTCCGAGGATCTTCCTTTTCCAATCTAAAGGAACTTTACTCTGTTCCCTAACCGTAAACTTTCACACTATTAATATTGTTATAAAGTTATTTGTACCTGAAGCTGTGTCCTATCTGCATGTATGACATCCACGTTGATGCCGTCGTATATCAGCTCCTTGAACAACTGCTTCGCGCGGTCCTTGCTTTGTACGAACACTGGAAAATATAGAAAGCCGGCGTGAAACAACCACAGCGTTGTGTTTCGTCGTGTGAATGGGATTGCCGAAGGTCCAATCCTTTCCCAAAGGTCTGCAACACACTCGTAGCACTCCGTTGTTGCATGTGTCCATGGGGCAGCGTTGCTTACCATCAGGTAATTCGTTTGCTCGTTAGACCCCGTGTCAACAGTCTACGGAGTCTAACAATCTAATAAAAGTCTAATTAGAACAAAATTGTTTGATTAGGTGCAGTCTAACAATTTAAAGAAGTCTAATTAGAATAATATTTTTTACTTTGAAGCAGTTATAAATTCTATTGGATTACATAACTAAAATGCCTTAAGGCATTAAGTCCGCCATTCAGACTGTTTTGTGTGAAGAAAAAATAATAAATAAAAAAAAATTATACCTAATACAGGTGGTTTCAATCCTTGTTGTACTAATTGTCTGAATGCAACCAGTTTTCCGCTCTCGTTGCCACAGAACAAAAGCTCTTGGTCAACTAAATTAGTCGCTGCATTCCTGAAAACACCAAAATATGCCTTTTAAAATCACAATTCTGTCTGACTGATTAATAGAAAGAAATTGGTTAGTTTTTTGTCTGATTCGTATTTCAGGTCAAAGATTATTTTTTTAACCTTTCAATATAATTAATTATTAAAATACAAACATACTTAATTTTTAAATATCAAGATAAAATGCACTATGTTATGCCACAAGGCGCACTAATACATACATATATCACATCAAACTAGTCAAAAACATAATTAAAAGGAAATTCTCAAAAGAAGAGTGATTTTGGGATACTAACCTATGTCCAACAGTAATATTAATAAGTCCCCTAAGATGCCGTCGGCTCCACTGCGCGAGTCGAGGTGTGTGCGTGGCACTGAACATAGCTACCCGACGCTGTTTACTGCCGCAGGCTGCCAGGATCTGCTCCATCTGCTGTCTGAAGTCTGAGGACTGATCCTCGGAGCCTTCGAACAATTTGTCCGCCTCATCTATTATTAGCCAGCGGATTCTGAAAATAATTATTTCAAATTAGGTAGTTTCCTAGGTCAAAAACAAATTATTTGTTGCTGTTTTAATACAATTAAATATTGAAAAATAACCATTTTTTCAAATCAAAGGATAAACTAAATTTTAGATATTTTTTGCTGATTATTAAGAAATAAACAATCTATTCGACGCAAAATACTATGATGTCATAACTTAGTGTTTCATACAAATTTCATAGAAAAGTATCGTATGACATTTGGATAAAAGTATTGAATTTGACTAGTTGGAAACTACCGTATTATCATATTGTTCATAAATCAAAGGCTTTGACAAATTCTGTTCAGCTTCAGACATTAGAATATTTTAGTTTTCGCCAATAGGTAATTTAACATATTCCATATTTTTTACCCTTCAGTCGAGACAGAATAGTAAGACACTAGGTGGGTGTTCGCTTGGAGTTTGATAAATTAATTGACATATTCTTTAATCTTTATTTTTAAACATTAATTAACATTAAGGCACAAAACAATAATACTACTCACTTTTCTAATGAAATGTTGACATTGTCTTGGTTGAGCAAGTAGCACAGACGGTTTGGCGTACTCACTATTATATCTGAAAATAACAATTGTATAATATTGATTATTGATAGGGTTTATTATAAAGCGGTTGGTATTAAAATCAAACACATATTGTTTCATAATATTGTAAATATTAATGGATTACCAAAATCCAGTTTATGCCGAGGAGTGCAGATAGATAATGTCTTTATATAGAATTCTCGTGTCCAAATGTAAGTAAGACACAGAAACGGATTTACTTACAGGATCCGCGTACGAAGTCGCGTTCAAAAGCTAGTTTCAATATTTGTGAGAAAAATCTCTGAATCAAATAACTTAAATATGAGATGTCAAATGTTTAGTTAAATAATGTTAATACATACCACTCTTCCTAATAGTAGCCTCTCGTTCCTTCACCTTCGACTCTTTGATACTCCTGACCACACTGCACCGTAACTGGCTGGAGGCACTAAGCCTTAGAGCTTCACGGTATATTTGCTGTGCCAGTTCTCTAGTAGGGCATAGTATTAGGGCTCTGGGACCGCCCTGCGGAGCACCCAGTGCATGAAGGATGGGGACCAGGAAAGCGGCTGTTTTTCCTGACCCAGTTGGCGCACAGGCGAGAATTTGACGGTCCTAAAAAAAATTAGTAAAATTTTGGTTTTTGTCTAATGATATAATTTTAATCGTAGCAGCGTTATCGTACGCACAATCACATACACGGCAGTAAATATACTAACATTGCAGTGAAGCACGAGCATTTTGTTGTATTACAAAATTTGCAAATAGACAGTACTATTTTATAACATACTTAATTTAATGAAAAAAAAAACATTAACTATTTGAGGAAAGCTCTACTAGTTTAAAGACATAGCGGGACTCTTATAGGGAGAGCGCGCACGACTTACTCAGTTAACTCAGTGGTTAAATATAAGAAAAAAAAAAGAATAGCCATGTACCAGATACTTTTTCCCTGATTCATAATTGTTATGTTCAAGTTCACAATTGGGTAGTTTCCTTTAGGTAAAAATAAATAAATTCGACATTCCAATACAATTACATTTTGAAAATTAACTATACTTTTATTAATCAATGAGTCAATACACTAAGTTTTAGATTTTTTTAGCTAATTATTAAGAAATAAATAAGCTAGTTAGCGCAAAAATGTTATGATGGTATAACTCAATTTTTCATACAAATTTCATAGAAAAGTATAGTTTTTGATGTTTGGATAAAAGTATTGAATTTGACTAGTTGGAAACTACTGTATTGGTCATGTAGTCAACAAGTATTTAATAAATAAATAACAATACAAGCTTAAACTTACTTCTAACATACAAGGCAGAGCTTGTCGCTGGACTGGAGTAGGCTCACTGTATCCACACTGCTTCACAGTATCCACGAGAGCCTGTGACACATTGTATCGAGACACCAGTTCTGAGAAATCTTGCAGTGCAGCAGGCACATGACGACCCACTGTTTTAATTCCATGTTCATTGCGGAAACGGTTTTGCTGTGAACAATATTTTATGTAACAGGTTTCCATTTAGCCATGCCGCTTTATATTCTTGTTATGAAAGAGGAACTAGACTGGCACAAACATTTTTAAGCTAATTGATAATCTTTCGCTAATTATGTGGTTAATATTTTAATGATTTTCCAGATTTATATCTACATGGGAGAACTAACATGGAAGATGACAATAACATAAAAGATGTTTTTTATTTTAATTCAAAATTTCCAACATCATGACCTTTTCAAACAAATCTTTGAAATGGCTGAACACAGCATTTTTAGCATTGAAGTAAATATTGGTTTTTACATTCCAAAAGTACCATTGTAACATTGAGGTCTGGCTCTGACTTTGATTATGTATAGAATTAAACCAAAACCATGATTCCAGAAAACATGTGGTAATATTGTAAAAATTAGAAGAATTACTATACACACCTCTTCCAGTTCCAATTTCTTTTTCAAATCTTCAGTCTTTTCTTTTTTCTGTTTTTTCTTCTTCTCCTGTCTTACTTTGACTCCCTCCACTAATTGTAAGTCATCCTGCTCCTCCTCATCAGAGTTCTGGTCTTCAGACTCTGTTCCGGAGTTTTCTATCTCATTGTTAAGTTCCTCTTCATTGTCACTTATGTTTTCTTCTTTTACTTCAATTTCTTCTTTTTTTATTGCTGGCTTTAATACTTGACCCTGAAGGTTAGTTTTAAATTAAGGAATTAACTACTTTGTGATAATGTAATAAGGCTGAAGCTAGATTAACTGATTGTAATCTTGTCTAGAACTGCAATGTACTGTCAAAAAAGTTGTTTCATTTACTTGAAAATGATTAAAAACCAAATTTCTAGTGTACTAAATATAAAATTAAGTTTTTGAGTTAGAGTTAGACCCGCAAATGTGGTATTTTTAGTGTAATAAGTGATTGCCACTGTAGTACAGAAATAACAAATTCATAATAGACTGCTTTGTCGAAGGGACAGGTAAATCAGATTGTAGTTAATTGTATGATAAATTGACAATGATAGATATGTATAATTATATTGCATAAATAACATGCACTTTAATGTAGGCAATTAGGTTATGTTTCATACTTACATTGTTTTTAACGCCCAAAACTTTATTCTTAAACGTTAAACCTTTTGTTAATTTCTTAAAAATATCGTAGGCGTCCATTATTCTTGCATTTGAATAGTATTTTAATTTATAATAATTTAATACACACGTGCGAACTGCACAATAACAATCTGCTGTTAGCTGTCACATTCAATTTGACAAGTGAAGAAATGTCAGTGGCCATTTGTTGAAGTGACAGCAGTTATATTCGGATACGGATGAAGTAAATCTTACTACATTTTTATAATTATTTTAATCTTTACATTTAAAAATAGCGCAACTTGTCGCAAAGTATATTGTTTCAATTATTTAGTTATTAATTTGGATTATTAAGGTAAAGTATATAAAGTAAATTTTAATTGTATGTATGTCTAAAACTAAAAATCGTATGTATCCAAACATAAATTTGCTGGTACATTCCCAGTGAAAATAAAAAATGTTGCCAGTAATGTGTTAAGTCTGTTTCACGGTGACTTTATTAATTTTTCTGCTTTTGTGGTTTTCTTTATGATCGGTTACATTCTACCTCATTCTACATAAAAGCATTTTCGGGAAGATACAGTTCTGCTGCTGTTATGCTTGATTGTGATTGTGATTTTCGAATTGAAACCACTTGGTGGTGACATTCTTTGCTGGAGTCCGAAGAAAACCTTTGTGACTTCAAGGCCAAGGCCAATAACAACATTGAATAGGTGCCTTAAGCCCAAGAGTTTTTAGAGGTATGAGGAACAGGGTGGAAAGTTCCTCATCCTCCATTGAAAAGGGAGGATCCTCCGACCAGGCGAGGTGTTCGTGCCTGGCGGGCTACTGCCCGACGGTTGTTGTCGGGATATCTGTATAGGTGCTAATTGTGTGGAAAACTCTTATAGCGCGATGTAGACTCTTGCACGTGATTGGTGCTGTTGTTTATGTAGTGCGCTAGATGTCGCTACATCACTCCCCTCCGAGACCGGAGGTCGTCAGCTGGTTGAGTCGTCTGTGAGATGCTTGTCGAGCCAGTTGATGGTTTCAGTGCGTCAAATCTGTCTGCGAAGATGCCCCAGTGAGTCGGGTGGTGCAGTGCTGAAGAGTGGCTAGCTGCTGCGTCGACCAGGAGAGGGAGTACGTCTCTGCTTGCTGACCGGCCGGTGCAGTATGCTGTGCCGAAGTTGCTGATGAGGCTGTAGGTGCTGACCAGGAATGCGCATTGGCTGCATGCTGGTGGTCAGGGAACCCGTTGTAGCCGTGGAAGCTGCTGACTGTAGGATTCGCTGCTTGAAAGCTCCAGGAAGTGATGACGTCATGGCTATGACGTAGTTGCACGAAGGCTGCGTTGATGTTCATGCTCGGGGTCACCAGTTTAGAGGTATGAGGAACAGGGTGGAAAGTTCCTCATCCTCCATTGAAAAGGGAGGATCCTCCGACCAGGCGAGGTGTTCGTGCCTGGTGGGCTACTGCCCGACGGTTGTTGTCGGGATATCTGTATAGGTGCTAATTGTGTGGAAAACTCTTATAGCGCGATGTAGACTCTTGCACGTGATTGGTGCTGTTGTTTATGTAGTGCGCTAGATGTCGCTACAAGTTAATTAATATCTTAATTCTTATGCTGTATAGAAAACGGCATGTAGGTAAGGTATTTCTTGTTTTGAAAGATTTAAACAATGAGTTTATTTCAATACAAGTAAGTAGGTATTATATCGTATTATCAGTGTGTATAATGTGTGAGAGATACGATTTTTCATGGTTGATTCAATCTCCGTCACTCTAATACCCAGAGGGCCAACGCACTCGTAGTTCCTCATGTTGCGAGTATCCATAGGTGGCGCCATGTAACTCTGTCTGTCAGTCTAACCATCTGCCCCAATCCGGGATTTGAACCCGTGATAGGTTGTGCAGCAGTTTTTATGTAGTCTAATCAATTTTATTGTGTAGGTACTTAAAGTATTTAGTTGTTTATAGTTTATAAAGTAACATTGGTAACGTAACTCCGTCCGTCCGTACATATACATTTTTGTTCAGTATTTACAATAGTTAATAGATTCACTCACCAATACCTACCTTCTCCTTTAAAAATTGGAATAAACCTCGACTGCTTAGCTGGACTCCGAACCGTCGATGGTTGGTTTTAATTATTTAATACATACGTTGTAATAAGACTAATTCTTTTTAAAACAATAAGTAGTTCTATAGCACTTTATACTTATGATATGTACCTACCTACTAGTTTGAAGTCTGAAACTATTCTCTTGTTTCTAACTACCTACTCAATACCTATCAAGTACACACATCACCACTGCTTGTTAATTCCCACTGCTGAGTAAAGGCCTCTTCTCACACAGAGAAGGCTTAAACTTGTAATCAGTAATTTTTAGACCAGATTTCCTCACGATGTCCTGTTCTCCGTCCGTCAGCGTACCTACGTGAATAATGTTTGAACCTACCTACTTGGTAGGTATATAGGTATAATCTGTTCTCGTCAGGTTTCGAACTACCACGACATTAAATTTTTACCACATTAGATTCCCTTTAGAAAGAAGAAATTTATTATAAGTACTTACTTTTTATAATAGGTACCTACATATGATTTTATAGAAACATATGACTAGCGAGTTCAATCTCAGTATAATAAGTTCAGGAAAGGGTTAGAGCGCTATTATCTGGTCTCCACAAAATATAGTCTCCTGATAACCACCTTTAAACAAGCAATTATTTTTATATTTATATTTACAGGATCTCGGAAACGGCTTCAACGGATTCGATGAGTATTATTCACGCATTCAACTGTTTTGATGAAGTTTTTTATGTAGGTATTATTTAATATTTTCGGGATATCGAATAAAGCCAAGTTTTTGTCTTCAAAAAATACCGAGCAAATCTCGGCTATTCAGGTAGGTATTTGGGCTAACATGACGAACGTGTGGTTAGTAAGATTGGTATGCGTCCTCAAAGCTTGCCTGTTTTTGAGAAGGGAAAATCATCAAATGACTTCTGTCGCCTAGAACATGGGAAGAGAGAGTCATCATCATCATCAGCCTATAAGTGCCCACTGCTGAGCAAAGGCCTCTTCTCACACAGAGAAGGTTTGAGCATCAATCACCACGCTTGCTCAATGCGGGTTGGCGATTTCAAACTTATAATTAGAAATTATAAGTCCAGGTTTCCTCACGATGTTTACCTTCACCGTATGTCAGTGGTGTCTAAATAATCATAGAAAATACGTATAACTTCGGAAAAAGTCACATTGGTACTTGCCAGGCAGGTTTCGAACCTACACCCTCATGCATGAGAAGCGGGCTCCTTAACCTCGGGACCACCTCGCCTCGACCTTTCCTTGTTCTGCTCTCGGTACCTTGTTGCGCTTGCCTGCAACCTCGGTAATCACAGATCGTTTTAACTTTACCTAAGTGTAAGGGAGAGGTACTAAACTAATGAATGAAAGAGCACACTATCAATGGAATCACTGCGAATTTATTTTATACTTTTATTACATTCATTTGTTATACGATGCTGAGAATTCGAAACGCAGATTTTGTTAGAAAACCTAAACTTAAAAATAACCGATATATTTTCTCCAGTATTGTTTAGACAAGAGTCAGATTCAAAGATACTTACAGTACTAAGTTCTCCGACTATCTGATATGTTCCTAACTTCCTACCAACGTGACTATCACGGCATTAGGATACAACGATCATTTAACTAATTTCTCTTTCCATTACTGGCTTTGTAAAGTATTGTCGTGATAAGGACTATTGAAATCCCGCAATGGAAAGATAACTAAGTAGATGTAATCGTGTGCCTTGTGTCCGCGACAGTCCTACTCAACCCGAATTGATTCCTTATTCACAAATATCAACAACATCAAAACAAGTAAAGACACCACTTTCGAAACATCACTGGACATCATGAGTCATACTTTTAGTATCAATGCAGATTTACCGATTCGTTGTACATTGCGTCTTGTATACCAGAATATTATCCCACATTCCCTTTCCAACAAGTAATGTATTACGAATCAGGCGCCCTACTGTTTTTCTATTAATATTAAAAATGTTGGACGTGTTCATTCAAAAACCATCCTCTATTGCGATTTATAAGTAATACTGATTGATTTGACTGCATTCATACGAAAAGTGTTTTACACAGATTATTCCTTATACAATTATACCTAATTTACAACACGCGGGAGCTGAACGAGGAACTGAACACGCACTGAGCCACGAGAGAAACCTTTTATGATTACATACTATGCAATATATACTATAAAACCTATGATATTGGCACTAAGACGTCCCGTGATCTGTTCCCCGCTCAGGCCCAGCGCCCATGACTCCAGTGCATGTTTGGAACCGCTTCGTTACCGCGACCTCGTATCTAAAACAATAGTACTTTAAGTGTCTTCACCGACTGAGGTGTAACTTACAACAACTGTCAAGAGAAGCCTACCAGGTCCTATCGGCCCCACATCTAAACCTTATTCGATCAATACACAATACTATAATTCATTTTTGTACACACCACATCCCCGGACCCTTTAAAAGTATAACAAAACTCCATTTAACTAAATTTAACACATATTTTTTCATCTTTGATCAACGATGGCAAACTATAACTTTTACATAGTAACACAATATTAGTTTAGGCATATTAAATCATCGCCAGCGGTACTCGCGTTTCATTGCTTCGTTAGTTTTTTTTTTTTACCAAATATCTAAATACAATAAATTATTAATATTATTTTTCATTTTTTTTACTAGAATCAAACGCGAGTATCACTTGCGAAACCAGCTTATAAAGAAAAAAGAAAATCAATGCTAATAAAAACGCAGATCGTGCATACATTACATTACGAAAAAAAAAAGAAAAAATCTAATCCTAAGTGTGTCAGCAAAAATATAATGCAGTAAATTAGAATTGCCACTTAATTAACTTTCACAATATAAATTGTATTTTTTTCTCGTAAAAAAATATTTCTGTGTATAAAATGTGTTACCGAGCATAACAAGGAACAGCGGCACAGTTTTACTAAAACATAAAAACGTAAACATTAGGAAAACAACTCAGTAGTGAGTATACTACAACAGCACATGCGCAGTACGTGAGCTGCGCACGCGTCTAACTCGGCATCCGATGCTCAACAGTGCAGCATTCAACACTCGGATTGTATATAAACTTGCATATATATAAATTAACAGCTTTTGGTAAAACTGCACCACTGCGTTACTTTATCTGTAGATATATGTATGTTACTTCTAGTATTTAACTGTCAGTATATTGTATGTCATAGCTTGTATATTGTAAATACTTTCTTTTATGTACTGTTATATAGACGGGTATCAACGACATTGCTCGACCGGGGGGACACATGTACTACTTATCATATAATACTTATTATTTTTATATAAAAAGTTGTAAGTGCACTTTGAGTTACGGAACTATATTAATGTTACTATTTACTGTTCCAGGGCTGGCAATCTAGGCAATGATAACGACAAAACGCTAGCTTCCTAAGTTGTAAATCTCATTAATAGATTTTCAGGCTTATGATAAAAGGATAAGATTGAATGTCTTTTAAAGAAATTCACGACTTAGTAGTTGAATTTTGATTTTATCAATGTCGGGAGAGCCAACCCTGGTATCTCTGACGTACTATAGTACTTAGTTAAATTATAATAAAGAGTTCTTTGACATGTGACTTGTAACGTATTGTCAATATTTGGCACTAAAGTTTTAGACGCGAAAAGTCATGAAAGAAAATAATAAACTACTAAAATATAACGAGGGCTTGAATTGAATTTTTTGATGTCGAAAATTCGCTTAAACGCGAGATGAGAAACTAAAAATGGGAAATAAGACTTACATTAGTAATAAATAGAGTTTCTTATATCTTAATTGACATTAAAAAGAGGAAATCTGCTGATTGTATCTTATAATAATTAAATTCATACATAGATGTAACTATTATATTGAGGTACTGTGGCGAATTGGGAACTATTGCTATAACTGTAATTATTTATAATTATATTATGTTTAAAGTGGAAGATACTGATATAATTATTAAAGCTATTGACTTAAGAATATATCGACTCTGACTCTCATACAAAAACTCTGCACGATCGTACGTAACAATTTGTGAAAGTACACAATAAAATGTCGTCGATGTATTCTTAAAAAATGGTTGTCCCGCATCCGACCGAGCAATTTAAAGTATTTATAATAACTATTGTACGATCTGGTGGCGCTACTGTTTCAATTAAAAACATAATTTTCAATTAAAACAATAACGTAAAATAACTATTGCATTTTAAACATGGAAATGGATCAACAAAAAATGAATGTATGGGAAAATACTATTTAACAACTGTTATATCTCGTTCAAGATTTACAATATAATTATAGATAAATATAAAACACTGTCCTGTCTGTATGTTGCAACTGTAATACATAAGTATATAAATACATCGGCCTGAATTTTTCAGGCAAAACCCACGTTCTAAACTAATACATTAGAAATTAAATTATATAATTGGAGGTAATACTTAAAATTATAGGAGGTAATACTTACAATAAAAGCATTTTCATTCTCTTAAAAAACAGTTTTGTGAAGCGGTTTGTGAACTTGTATATTTCAGGTGAGAATACCTCGTAAATAACGTATTTACTTCGATCAAGTAGAAGTTTAAGTTACCTGCCTATCATAAGATTAGGTAATTATTATTATATATCCAAGAATAATCCTAAGGAAAATCATGGACAACAATATAAAATCATTCAAAAGTTTTACGAAATTTATAAATCGGCAGTACTTATTATAATTTATTCGAATACGAAAGTTTTTTTGATCTTTGCAAATGAAAACAGACAATAAAAAGTACTTTAAAATGACACTTGGGAACAGAACGTCAGTTCTGGCTGTGAAGCCTTGAAAAACATGGCTTGCTACCAGATGTTTCTAGCACAAAAATATTGTCAAAAAATTTGAACATTAGCGTGTGAATGCTCTTTTTCACTTTTTTTTTTAGTTCATGTGCTGTTTGTTTGAGACGGTCGGTGATACCCGAATAGTCATTCCAAAGTACGCGAAATCCTTATTTATTTATCTAGTGTAGGCTATTGTTAAAGTTGTACTGTTTCGAAGGCATCCCGTTGTTGGTTACTTTGTGCATAACACTAATTAGTAACACAGTCGGTTTATAAAATTATTTCTTTAAAACTTAACGTTATTAACTGGCGAACAAGCGAAAAAATTATATTGCGAATTCAAAGGGCTGCTATAATTTACACGTAAAAATATATATATTTAAAAAAAAGATTTTCTCACTTTTCATCTTACTATTTAAAAATGCAGTATTTTGGTATACATTGCAAAATATACTTTTACTTATTATTGTTTCGCTGTATTTACTTTTTTTTTCTTTAGCTATTGTTTACTTTTGCGTTTTTTTGTTTTTTTATTTAACATTTTTTTCACGCTGCGATTTCTATTCCTCCGTTTTTGCCGACACATAATCCAAACTTAACACAAATTACACAATAGTAATAGACCTAACAACAATCACCAACGGCTGTCTCCAAAATTGATGTAGTACGCAGCTGTCAATTGAGATCAATTTAGAAAAATTCATCCAAAAAAATCGAACCACAAAATAAGTGTGGGCGTGTAAAATCCAATATTTCAACGAAACAGTCAACAATAAGCTCAATGAACAGCCAAACCAATAAGAAATCATTGCACAGCGAAAACAATAAACACAAACATTAAAAAAAAAAACATTATGACGACTAAGTCTAAGTTTCACTATGAATAAATCCATTAGTAGAATATATAAAAATCCTTTCCATTAATGATTTTATCTATTTACTATTTAGTTAATAATATCACGAGGCTTCTATTCCCGAGCGATGCCACGATACTTCAGTTGTGTAAGTCATCTAACTTATATTTACAATTCAAACTACCCGCTTGCTTTTTCCTTCTAAGCTCCAGCTAAATGATGCTATGATCTTTAATATTTCCGAAAATATTTCGTCGACGTGTTCCTTTTACATTAAAAATAAACAGCCTGTAACATTGAAATAAAAATAATAAAACAAAATAATATAATAGTTGAGGTACTACTTGAATGGAGGTATACACGGGCTAACCGGCTAGTGTCCACGTAACAATACTTTGAAACCAACCCGACACTAACACCTATTTAAGCTGAGGATAAAATGATAAAACTTAAATGTTAAATATCTGGATATACCAAACAACTTCTCATTAAATGTATATCATATCACAAAGTACACATATATGTAACATTCCGAAAAAGAAAGTAAAAATACAAAAAACCCTACGTTACGTTCCTATACCCAAGTTACTTAACAATGGAAAAATAAATGCAAAAATATAATGTTGATTGCTCTAAAACAACGTACGTAGATGCATTGGTGCCTGGCGTTGCAACGGTACTCCGTGGTACACTTGCATTGTATAATGCGTCCCAGTGGGCTGGAGTTTAACTTCACTTACAGTGAGCAGATATTGATATGTTCCTAGGTTCCTAGGTTCTGGATAATTGTATGAAACGTGTAAATTGGATATGGCACAATACATTTCAGCACTTTAACATTGTTCAGAAAGTTGTCATATGTCTACGGGAATAAATGCATTTCAGCAAGTATTATTCACATTAACTTGTTTTCTTTGGCTTTGTGAAATATCACGGTGTTAACAATACTTTCCTTGATTAAAGATATTTATGGGTTTGTGATATGTGGTTTAGAGATTGGATCGCGATTCAATGATCGAAATGTTTGCTTTCGATAACCCTGAATAGATATGTTGTGTTACCTGAAAACGCGGTTCGCAAGCAATTTTCTACGATATAAGTAAATAAAATAATTTTTTATACAATTTGCAGCCATCTTATGGTTAGGTAATCCTAAGATTTTTTGAGAATAATATAATAATAATCTAATAAATTTTCAATAACGAGACATCAGCTACGTTGGTCGACATTAAATAAGAACCACTATACACTCATAGAGAGAAATCCGAAAATGGATACAGGTTAAATATAATTCTATTAATTAATACCTAAACTCTACGTATTTCTATACAGAAGAAATGTTTGATTTGTTTCATGATTTGTAATCATGCACACGTATACGATCGTCGAACTGCTTTTCGAAGACCCACTTTCTGGCTAACCAGCGCCTCTATTTCCTACAACTGTTTACTCACTCTTAACCCTGTATTCAAGGATTCCACCGGAGACTGGCAACCCTACAGCATTTTCCCTTTTCGAAACGTCACCGCCAACTTTGATTCGTCCTGAACCGTCTCTTGCGCATACCTCGTCAGTTCACAAATTCATCTTTATACTTCGAAGACGAACGAAGGCACGGCTACTTACACATTGATCATAATCATTTATATTACTGAAGCCAAACGCACATAGATTAGATATTGTTAGACGTTACACTTTGTACTTTCGAAATCAGATTCTAAGAAGTCTTTAATTTTTTACTCAACATCAACATTTTTTTTTTACTTTTAATCTAAACATTTTTGTAATTAACCGCTAAATAATCTGTATCATTTAATTAATTTAGATTTGGCGTTCCGAAAAAAGTTTCAGTAAAAAATATTTTCTTTGCATTTCATTAAAATTTGTACGTTTTCAATTTGTACAGTTACCGAATCTAATTTGACACTAGACATTTATCGAAAAGTGATTTTAAAAAATGTATTTCTCTTTAGAATACAGTTGGCATAATTTGGCAGTACTAGAAATATGAATACTTTAGTATTGCTCTGGATTACATTGTTATATGAACACTGTTGGAACATTTTCACTAGAAAATGCCGTAACTCGCAACTGTTACGTCCTAGTCACAAAGCGAAGTCCGATCGTCGAAGCGTACACTAGGCGACCTCTACCGGCCGCGTGCGACAATACTGTTTATGTAATTTTAATCCTAACGTCAATATTTTACTAATTATAATACGATAAACCATGGATGCGGCCGAGGCCTGCATCGTTTTGGCATTGTCCGTTATATTGCACATGTATGCTGCTATCCGAGTCGTAAGCGCGTCATCTAGCCGTATTACAAATAGACTTGGCGAGGGGGCCAAGTGTATTTGGAACAGGGACCTCTGCCACCGGTCTAAGCCATGGTCTGAGGTCATTGAAGGCCAGGCGGCAGCTGCGGGCCGTGGTCGGCGCCCAAGTCGAACAGGTGGTGCGGGGAGGGCGCCAGCGCCGAGTGCAGCGCCGACGTCTTCAGCAGCCGCTTCAGCATGCCGCTGGAGCCGCGGTGCTGCAGGCTCTTGTGCGTCGTCAGCGAGTTCTTGGTCCTGTACCTCCGGTGGCAGAACTCGCACACGTACAGCGTATCCGACTGCTCGTGCTTGTCTTGGAAGTGTCGCTTCAAGGAATAGTAACAAGAGAATGTCCTGCGGCAGTAAGGACATTCTTGTGGCTCGTTGATACCGCCGGCGGTGGGCGGGGGCATACGGAGGGGCGGGACTGCTGGAACACAACAACACACGCGCTTAGCGGGGACTGCTCGGCAGCGGCGGCACGCCGGCTCCGAGCTGCTTCATACGACTCCTCAATAAACGTACATGTATGAGGTTTATATAATAATTAATAATATTACTAATAATATGCACTGTACACATTGACTAACTACACAATAATCACGAGATTCTCATAATATTCAAAATCTTAAGGAAATTCTCTCAACCACAATAACACATAGACACGTGATAACAAAAATGATAGAAGCATGCTCCAAGCAACACAACAACGTCAAAACTGCGAAACCCGACGGGAGGGGGAGCGCGGGGGGCGCGGGGTACGCGGGGGACGGGAGGAGTACAGTCGAACTTAAAGAACGGAAAATTCAAACTAAAATCTATGAACTCAAAAGTGAACTGAAATAATATAAAATGAAAATGTCAGAAGGGCCCTTAACCTAGCTTAGTCTAGTATAGGATATCCATTGTTAATGAGTTAGATCGTCTGCTCTCTAATTGTTCTGGTTCTATAAACAATATCTAACCTTTGTGAGTGTTGCTATGTACGGCGGGTTCGGGTAGATTGGGCTCGTGTAGATTCTCTTTGCTAGATGAATACTGCCGCACGCCGCGCCAACTCCGTCCAAGTAGTCACTAAAAAAATCGTATTTGATCTGGCTCCCCTGTCCTCGACTTGTGGTAGGTGTATATGTGGGTCATCAGAGAGTTGCGCGAGCAGTATACCCTCTCACATATCGTGCATCGGTATTCCTCCTGCCGCTCTGCGTGTTTGTCAGCGATATGCCGCTTCAACGACGCCTTTGAACACAGAACCTTCCCGCATAGCGAGCACGAGAATAACTTTTTACCTGTAAACAGATCGAAAAAACAAAAAAATATGGGGTTGCTCCCCGAACGCGGTATAAATTAACAAAAATAAAACCTATCCCAGGGATCATGTCATTATTCATTACATTTTCTCTTTTCTTTTTCTTTGGTCAAGAAAAAAATAAAAACAAAAAGAGTGTGACTAAAATAAAATGATAAATAAAAATAGAAAAATAAAAATTGAAATGATGGCGAAGCTACAGTGGCTCATGAAGGGTGTTAACAGTCAGCATGCGATTGAGGCGGGAAAATAAATATTTAGGCGGGAAAACTAGATATGCTAAGCGTGTTTCGAAATTAATAAAAAAATAAAACAGTGCACTATGGAAATCGTCTAATTGTCTCTACAAAAAAGCTCGTAATGGACAAAATAAACCAAAGAGTATATATACTCGGGTAGCCGGAGGATGTACTAATAAAACTGGCAATAAGTTTTTTGTATATTTGTTTTTATTAAAAACGCCATTATCATCAATATTAGGATTTATGAAGTTCGGTTTAACGATTACATTTTATGAGTAGTTACTTCAATTATTTTAATTTAAAAAGTAAGGAAGGAAAAGAACTATTTACGAATATATAATATAGTGTTGCGAAATCATTTAATATTAGAAATATAACTAAGTGCAGCCCATTAAAATAATTTGTTTACTTTTGGCGTTCCACGCTACGTACAAGACTAATATCGCCTTAAATGGAAGACAAAACATAAAAACACCGAAGTTTTGGCACAATCTCGAATAACATTAAACAATCTAATGGACTGCATTACACAGATGCCAATCATTAACAAAAATAGTTATCTAGATTCGTGGATAGTAGAACAATAATTTAAGAAAAAAAAAATATATAAAATTTTCAATACAACAACCAATAAATTAATTTAGATTCCTTATAAAATAAGTAAAAATGCCAACAAGAAGTATAAGAACACATTGGATAAAGTCAGCGCACGCGCACGTGACGCTTTGAAAAAAAAAACCTTAACTTGTTAGAAAGATAAAAACTTAAACAGGTCACAGAAACAGTCTTAATCTTGCTAAGATCCTAACTAATATAGTTTCGACAGGGATGTGTTCTGCTCCTTAGAACACGGTGTAATTCTTACCCTTTCAAACCCGAGACTTTCAGTCTCTCGAGATCCCAAAATAACTTAACACCTAAAAATTTCGAACCAAAAGATCATTTGAATCACAAATCAATTTCGAGTTTATAATACCAAAATTAATCACGCTTTGACCGCCTTCTGCGCGACGCCATTCTTCATTTTTTTTTATAAAATTATCAATAAATTTAGTAAATAATGTACATTTTTTATCTATAAAATACGCCTAATAGTGTACAAGTCGAACGCGTACTTACTCTAATCAGTCTATAGCGCTTATTATTTTGGCAAAATTTTTCCCAACCAGAGACAAGATTTTTTACTAAATAAATTCTTAAATTTTTTTCGTAGCTATACTGAAAATAGCTGAAATACCGTACTGCCTTTGCAGCACATCCCTGTAATCGTAAATTAAACATGTATTTCTATTAACTATATGAATTCAGATAAACCTTAATCCTATTTAATCAACTAACTTAATTTCCCAAACCCAAATTAACAAGAAAAACTATGACTAAATTACTAATCAAAAAACAACAATCCTACGTTTCAAACTTTGCAATGATACGCAAATAAAAACTTAACATTTTTTATCATTTCCCCTTCGTATCGGAATGTTGCGAAATGTTGAATTAATTTAGATTCCATTTTCGATTCCCTTATTTTTTCTAACACGAACATCGTTCCTTTAGCACCAAATCTCTAGTCTTCCAATTGGCCAAACTATTACAATAAAGCTTACTAATTAACTAAACGAATAATGGCTAAGCATTTATGTATCTAGCAATAACAACAGAATTTGATAACATATAGCATTTCAGGAAGCCTCTCAGTTGTTTACGTAAAGCATATTTCTCTAGGTATAAAGTGTGTCAAACACTACCTAACAATGCTTTCAAAGTTACGAAAAAATACGCAAAATATGTCTTTTTTTTTGTCAATAAGAACACAATAATATGAAGCAGGCACTAATATTACTTAGGGTGTATATCATTTATAATAAATTATGTTAACATTTACAATCAAAGTTCCTTATTGCTATAAAATGAAAGTTTTTAACAATATTGATATTTATCGACTTAATAAAGTCTGAATAAGTGATGTTTCACGAACTAGAATATTTTCACAAAGAAAGACGCACATTAATTTGTCTATTGAATGATTTAACTTTAACGCGAAAATAAAACTTTTCCGATCTCCATTCGTTTTTCTTTCTCTCGAAGATCGTACATAAAGTTTGTGTTTGTAATTTTCCATTAAAAACAGTTCTAGGACAATCTTCGTTATTAATGTAGGTACAGATAATACGTACCATTTTAATATTTTCTTGTGTTTTTCTCATGGTTGTAACGCGTCGAAGTTTCGTCATTCAATATGCAGGCGTACACTAAAATTATTTATGGCAAGCAAAATTCCGTCACTAAATAACATCGAACACGGAACATTTAGTAGTTGAAAGTTCACACTGTTGAAATTTAGGAACATTTAACACTGAGAATTATTAAAAATTTGTTTTTATACTATTACCTATTATGTATAATATAATAATAATAATAATGTGTAATTACAATTGTACAAAACAAAAAACAAACTGTGAGTGTTTAATGTACAAAAAATACGAGTAAAAGTAGATCGGTAAAAAGCGAAAAAATATTATTTGTAAAAAAAAACTATCCTAATAAAAAGGCTCAACGAAATAATAATAAATTGAAACGAACACAAGACTGCGTTAAAAACTAAAAAAAATGTAACTAAACTAAAAAATAAAATAGCCATATTCTTTTAAGATGGCACCTTGCGATTCACTTGTAAAATGCAATTTCTTAGACTGATGGTTGTTTGTCAGTAATAATAATAACAAAATAATGATAAAAAGGCAGCAACTTATATAGAAAAGTCGACAAATGAGATAAATAAATATATTGATAAAATAATATAAAAACCTGTCGACTGCAAAAAGAAAGCTATGAGTTGTTCTGTTTGTCTGTGTCGGTCTATGGGTCTGTGGTCTATATGTATATGTATTCCTGGTTTATGTGTGTTGTATAGTCCGGTATATCTGTGGTAGTGCTATCTGCGGGTAAATATATGTATACTGTATATGTTTTTGCAAAAACAATCCTTCATCTCATTCTATTGGTGCTATTATAAATCCTGAATTCAGTCTTAAATGAAAAATTAAAAACTCCTAAAATAAAAATAATAATTTGAAAGCCTCATAAGCCAATTATATATCTGTGTATATAGCTTTTAATTATAATTTTTACATATTTTCGTTTAGTAATCTCGTATAAATATCTAAGATTGAGATCATGCAGATAAATTACAGAATAAATAAATTGCCAAAAATAATGAACACAATTTGAAAACAATATGCCTCTTCTGTTACTTACACGAACACCATTTCTTTTATATAAATTTAAGCCTAATATATAAATTTACAGCACCAAGATTTTTCATCTTTTCTCAAAATATTATTTTTTTCTCTTCGCCTTATTGTCGCACATTTAACATAGTGTAAAATTCAGGAATCATTGTATACCGCAGTATTGCACTCTCCGGGCGCAATCGATCGAAAACATTTTCTAAACAACAAAAGGACATTTTGAAATTCGATCTCAGTCGCCCTCCCTTGTAACAAGTGGAATGTCAGAAAGCCGTTAAATATTGTGATGTTAGTCAATGTCAACCCCTACGTACAAGTTCAAAGGTCAAATAAATATTTTATAAAGAAAAACAAATCTGAGAAACAATAATATATCAAGTCCCGTAAACTATTACGGAAATAAAGGATAATCATATGAAAATATAATCAAATAGTTACTTTCATTTTCAAATAGAGAATAAGAGGATTACGAAAGTAAAAGGAAAAGTTTAGAATTAGACATTGAACTGGTCTTTGAACTTGTAGAAGTCAATGTTGTGATGCTGTGGATTGATCTTAGTGTCGGGGCTGGTGGTGAGGTTCTGCGGCTGCGTCTGCTGGGGCACGCCGCGCTGCCGGCGGTGGTAGATGCTCTTATGGTTGTTGAGCGAGTTGAGCGTTCGGAACACCTTGTGGCAGAGGGAGCAGCGCGCCGAGTGCAGCGGCTGCAGGTGCTGCTGCTCGGTGTGCCGCTTGAGCGTGAGCCGCGTGGACAGCAGCTTGCCGCACACCTCGCAGCGGTGCCCCGCGCCCAGAGGGCCAACTGCGCCACACATAACAACCAACATGAGCGCATTAGTCAAGACACGAGCCGGCGCGGCCCGTCGTATCCCACACCACTGCGACCGCATCCAACGGGTCCCACGTGACGGAACCAATTGGCACAATTAGTGCACCACTATTGTTTCGGTGGCAATTTTGAACCTAGTAGAGGCAATTGAACGTGTTCACGAATTTGACTAATGCGCTTTTTTACAAAACGGTTGGTGGTTATGCGTGTACCGATCAGATGTCCCAATTGGTTCCAGAGAGGGCGTGCCAGCGCAGCGGCGGGCGGGGCGCGCTGCGCTGGCACGACCGTCATACGATACGTTTAGTGGGAAATAATAAATTATACATACATATAAGATAAAGTTTGCGATGCGCATGCATTACTATGCTATATACAAATGTTAGGAACATATCGCGTTACAATTTTGTTTAAACTTAACGAAGTCTAGGGGCAAGAGTATGGCGTTTAGGTGGTTAGGATGGCAGCTCGGTTTCTTCGAATGGCAACGTGAGGGGGGCGCGCCGGGGCCGGCGGGTCGAGCGTCAGTTGACGGAGTAGAAGGGGCCGGGCGCGGCCGCCGCCGGCTGCTGCTGCTTGCGGTGGTAGATGGACTTGTGGTTGCGGAGGCTGTTCAGACTCGAGTAAACCCGCCGGCAAATGTTACACACCGGCTCCCGGGACGGTCTCATGTGCACGTTTTGGATGTGGCGTTTGAGCCGCGTCAACGACGACAAGCTCTTGTTACATGGCTCACAGCGGTAATCTTCTTGGGGGGTGCGGGCGCCACCTGGTACAACACAAGCAGTTAGCCCCGTCGTCGCGCGATTAATGCACTCTCGAGTCGTAGCCTCTGTGTAAGCACCGCCACCCCCCGCTACGATGACAGCGACCCGCCTCGGGTGTTGCGAAGCGGTATTAGTAACGCATACATTGTACTCTCGCCTACTCCTCGCTAGTTAAGCTCAGCAATGATTGTGTGATCGACTATCGTCGGTTTTCATAACAGACGCGCGCAACGGTTGTTTCAAATTTCCCGAACAAAAGCGTTTTTATTCTTCAATGAAATAATTTGAGCGTATTTTATAATATACCGACACCAAGTTACCATTACTAAAATTCCATTGTTCGATCTCCCTGTTATTATATTTTCCGTTTCCCAAGACAATGTGATCGAGTGTAACCCGATAGTGTATTTAGAAATGATTCATGAGATCCACTATGCTCGGAACAATAAGTAAACTCAACTTGTACTGAACTCGCCCAACTTTTCTACCGAACTTTGATTGGATTTGTCGAAACTTAATTTTGTGCTTTTCTTCTTATACTCGAGTACGTTTTTCTTAATAATATTTTGAATATGATGTTTACAGCCAATTCGTGTGGTACGATTGCGTTCGATAACAGTCCGTTAGTTCCCGTCGGATGGCCGGTAAATAATGAGAATTTGAAAAATAAAAATATAGAAACAAAAATTAAGAACAAAAACCTAATTCGGAGACATGGGAGTGAGGGGTTTTCCTAGCACACAATTTGTTTAACATCTATAAAACAAGCTAGCATATCTTCGTAAAGTTACATTACACTATGTTACAGTAACAGTTACATGCACGCCGCATTGCGTTTTGGTTCAATGATAAACAGATTACGTCCCACTCGTGCAGACAGTTACAATCATTCAATGAAATGTCCAAACATACGAGTATTTTACCTACGCGCGTCTCCATCGAACCATAACACAAAAAGCTAACATTAATTAATTTAAATACAGAAACACAGAGCACAAAATGAAGACATATACAAGGTTAATAGTATATAGTAATATAATAATAATATACATATATTAAGATATAATATATATAAATTATATGTCACGTGATAATTGCCTCATACATTTGTAAACAAAAAATTATAATAAAACCTAATAATGATATATAAACCTAATATGACAGAGCAGAGAGGAAGCGGTGATGGTGGCATACGACAGACAGTGCATTAAAAATATCGTTGGTCTCAATATATGTAGTAATGCGATAAAATAATTCGTTGCTAGACAAGCTGGCACTCACCTTGAGAAGTACTTGCGATGCCGTCCGGAGCCAGTGGACTTTGGAGACCTGGAAACACCACATACTTCATATGCTATCTTTTTCTTCAAACAAATTTACATTCCAATAAGTCACATGATAATGAAAATTTTCATATTATTGTCATAGTTTGCATTTTGAAATAGACATTTATAAAACTCCTTACCAGTCAAAGAGGGATGCGAGAGGGCTTCCATAGTAAAGTTGTACGTGTTGGCCGGGTTGAAGAGCTTAGTGTCTGGAGGCTGTATGAACGGCGGCGGGTGTGGTGGTGGCGTGCACTCTTCGGCATCAGCAGAGCTGCCACGAGACGGCGGGCCTCCTCCCTGAGGATTGACACAAGTAGGCATTAAACTCCCGTCCATATTTTCATCTTTGCCCGTATGTTGTTTAGTATGTAACGCGATATTCAATTGTATAAATAGTCCAGACGTATTTGTAGGCTTTTTATTTGTTCATTTCTAAGTAGTAACCAGATCCGAAACCTTACAGGAAGCTGGCGGTTCTACGCAGTTCTGTATTCGAAATAACATTTATTTACTTTCTCGGATGAGCCAGTAATATCATTTGAAATATGCTCGACTACAACAAAATGAAAAATGAAAATCGTTTTCCCAAAGCGGTATTACAAGAAGACGTTATTAACAGAAGTCTGTAGGAGTCGTCAACTATTAGAAGCTACACCAATTTAACTTCCAAATAACTAAAGTTTCGTCCTAATAAAAATATAGGCCCTTCTGTGCAAATGAGATCTTATTTTTGTGAACATTTTTAATTTAAAAGGTTTGTTTTCTCCGGGATTGCTTGTTTTTTTGTTGACTTTAATATGTATTCGCTCGAAGTTTCTTGAAGTGGATGGAATTTGATGATATTTTTAGTTGTTTCGAATAATTTATTTTTACTTTAAATTACTTTTCATAGGAAGAAGTTAATTTAAGATCATTGATACTTCGTTCTGATATTGGAGATAGTCAAAAGATTTCCTGGAAGGTAATGTTGTTTTGTGGTATGTCCAAAAATATGTGAATCGAAGCTTCTAGATGGCAAGAAACCCCAAGTCCCTAATTCTCTGTGTCATTAGGCCATGAGACAATGTTATCGCTGTCGCGAATACCCGACACTCGGCACTTGACACCATCGAGTTCCGGGTACAAATTCTAGTGTCTAGCACTCTAATACCGCGTACTGTCTGCACTTAGACGGGCCAATTGTTTATGGTATCGCTGTGAAGGTTACAAGGTTACTTTTTGGTCAAGCTAACTTTTCAACTGAATGTGTGTTGCCATCTAGAAGACGGTGTATTCATTCTTGTGGTAGTAGATAGATATTACCAATATTGAGTTAAAAAACATAAGTTCCAAATTTTTCCTCAGGTCGTCTCTAAGCAATGAAATTTATTGTTGAATTTTAAATAGATAAATTAATGAACTAAGTAAGTAGTGAATAATGCTTTATTGCAAAAATTTATAAACAATCAAATTTGTTTTCTAATCATAACGTTTTTAATGTCGAAATGTTTACCATGTACTCAGTTTAAAGTATGTAGGTACTCTAATATAAAATATGATAGTTAAAACTGTCCAGTGGAAAGTTATTGTTTGAACTCAATTATTGATTTAGTAATCGATCGATTCTGTGAATAAACATTCATAGAATGTGTTAAGCAAGTCCAATATACGTAACACGATAATAATGCTTATATATCACTTTTACAAGTATGTGTTTTAATGTATTACTAAGGCGTTGAAGAATTTTGCACGAGTTGCAAATTTAATCGAATGGTACCCGAATTTATGCAAGTTTTTGATACAGTTTTATTCGACATTATGTTTTTCGTCATTAGTGATAATAACAAAATAGAAATTGCCTTTTCGATAATTCCCATTTTCGTCACTCAATGATCGAGATATTAATACTACTTTTTATGTTTTTCTTCAGTATTTTCATGAGAAACTAAGATTTCCCTCTTTTCCAATTTACTTGAACATTCTTTATAATAATGTTGTGAGAAACTTATACTTATTTCGCGCAGTTGTATCTAAAATTGTTTTACATTTTCATATTATATTTTGGATTGGCCTTTTAGCGACATTAAGAATGAAGGTTTTAGTTTTCAATAACTTCAAGATTTGTTAAACAATTGGATGTGAAAACGCTTTATAATAGCGTTACTCTTACCGTACCTATGGTGAACTTGGGATTGGTTCTTATAATTCAAACTTGTCGATGAATGATCTTACCTACAACTTTAAAACAAACGTATAAACAGACACATACATGTATAGGGAACCGATCCCCAATCTCCCCCATTTCTCGGTGACATCTTTAAATGATAAAATGGTTGACTTTTACCAACTCACAAGTGGTCTGTGATGATGCGGCGGCGTGTCGTCCGTGCTCCGATCGATGTCCGGGTTGGATGGGCAGATCATGTCGATGGGCTCGTTCTTCACATCGTCCATGAGCCTCGGAGACGGCGAGGAGCTGCTGTTGGAGATGCCATTCCCGTTGTTGCCCGTCTCGTTGTGGGCGCGAGCGTGGGTGTTGTTCTTTGTAGAGAAGTCGTGGATTTGGGGCTGTTCGTTGTTGTTGTCGTGACGTGGACGCTTGATGACGTCAGGGCTGTTGTCGGCGGAGCGGCTGAGCCGGCGCGGCGGCAGCGGCGTGCGGCGCATGAGCTGCTGCACGCTGGAGCTGGTCGGCTGCAGCAGGGCCTCCTCCAGGCGGTCGTAGGAGGGCGTGTGGCTGATGTGTGTGCTGTGTGCGGAGTGCGGCGGCGTGTGCGGCGATGTCGTGGATGGGGCGCGTGCTGGCTGCATCAGGGGCTGCAGGGAGAGCGTCTCTTAGCACGCTTTACATAGAGGGTACATCGTTTGAAGTAGAGTCAATATGCTCTGTAGTACCTTATTGCTTTAAGACAAGTCTAATACAAGAGTAAGCAAGCTAAATAATTTTTACTAGTATTTTAAAAACATTAAGACTGACACATTGATAAATTTTACAAGATTGATACACGTCTTAAGCACCACATTTGCCCATACTTTCGCATAATAAGTACTATCTAAAATCAACAAACTTACCCCCTGTGCATTGTCATTGTGCGTGAGTCCAGAGACGCGAAGCACTTCAGCTGTCTTGAGGAAGGAGGAGAGGCTCCTCTGGTGGACGTTCACCTCGCCATGGTAGATGAACTCCACCAGCGCATGCAGGTCCGTAAATGCCACGTCTTGTAGGACTATCACTGGGTGTTTGCATGGCGTTGACTGTTGAAGGAAGAACACATAAGTATTTTTCTGTCGATTTAAATCATAAAATGGTCATTACATGAAAATGTTCTGATTGTTATACTTATAGGTCTATATATGCAACTGCTATTCTATTTTTTATTGACATTATAATTCATTTTGATAAGAGCTTAATATTAAAAAAGTAATAGGCACTCAATCATTACACCTTCGTGAAAATACGTAAAAACCTCTTTGTTCTCTTTAAATTTTTAATTTAGAACGTAGCTATGATTAGGTAAATACACGTCAATAGCATAGAACAATGTCGGAACTCGGAAAAGCAAAATTATTCTATCAAAAATCCTAAAATAACTTCGTTTAAAATATCATACAGCTATCAGATAAATAAACAAAAAACTCAATTACTATGGAATGGATATAAAATATTCAGTAGCGGAACTGTGCCGACTGTTTTAACCCACTCTGCTATTTATTGGGTGTGGTAACATTGGCCGTTTGGATTATGCGCGGGAAACAGATTAAAAAGAATAAAATATAGAATGTCCGTTTGAAATTAATTGCGTTTGTCGATGTACGTACGTATCTACATAGAGATTATTGAAATGTATACATATAATTATTTGTTTTATTTTTAAACGTGGTAGGTAGCATTGATGTGACGTTTTTTTTTTGTATTAGTTACTAGATTATAATAAACTAACTAGCTATGATGTTCACTCATTTTTAAATTAATTAAGTCTCCGTTAAGTAACGTTTCTTTGTACTATTGAATTGTAGGTACCTATGTATATTTTGGAATTAATTCGTAATGCCGATTCTAAGTGTGGGAGAGCCATGTTGAGGCGGCTCGGAACCGAAATGATACCACGGCCTTACAGAAAACCAACGTGAAATAACGCTTACGTTGTCTTTTGCTGTATAAGTGTGGATGCCGAAGGCCTGACCCCTTTATCCCCAATATCTGACTTCTTAATCCCCAAATCCCAAACTACTACCACTATTAACAATTAGTTAATAATAAACGGGGATTCGCCCCAAAAGGCCGGCAATGCACATGCTACTTCGCTGGGGTAGAGTGTCTATGAGCGGCACCAATACTATCAAAATTATCAAGTGATCTGAACAAATACTGGCACCTGCTAAATTATTTCTTTTCAGTAGATTTTTTTTATAAGTATTTAAAGAAAAATACTAAGTAACTTATTAAGTTACGTGGCGAATAATACTGACTACGAATATCGGAATCTATAGTGTATTTTTTTATTTTTAGAAACAGTAACGAATGAATTTCACAGTTGCTTGATAACATTATTCGAATCGATTTTATTACACGCATCATAAAATTACTAACTACTTAAGTTAACCTTAGATAACAACCGGTAATTTCGATACTCACTGTCAAGTCAGGTTGGCCGAGTGGTCTAAGGCGCCAGATTTAAGCTCTGGTTCCCGAGAGGGAGCGTGGGTTCGAACCCCACACCTGACAAACCTTTTTGTTGATAGTTAAATCATTTCTTATAATTTTATGAATTATTTTCTACTTTTTTGTTAATTTTTATATTATTATTTAATCATTAACTTTTTTTATGATTTTTTGTAAAGACTATAATCATTGTTTCTATCTGTGCAGGAGATAAAAATCATTTTTTAAGTTATCACACTGTTGATATTATTAATTACCTACCGAAATATATTAATATTTAAGAGAATACACCGGGCGACACCTAGCGGATGCTTGGCGCAACATGCAATGACGCCTTATCGTAAATTTCAGGAATGAAATCCTTTCGAGGTATTAATTAATTTCGTTGAGCTTGGAACATCTTTATTATGTGGCTTGCTTCCTTCCTTCTTTGCTCATTATGGGGTAGGTAGAAGGTTGCCAAGTGACTACCTAATATTTGCCAAATGATAACTAATTAATTGGCTTTTTTCTAGTTCAATATTCACGAATTTCCGTATAAGTATCAGTTACACGGCTCAAATTAAACCGATAAGTATTTTAAGTATTGAAAAGAAGTACTAAAAGTTAGTTTATAAAGGTCATTTTTCAATTTCTTTTTTTTCCAACTAAACACAGCGCTATTTTGTAACAACTTTTTGACCCTAAGTCTTCATCGACGATCCTTACGAAGGGCCCTTGTCTCTGGATGGTCAAATGCTATGACTTTTTAATTATGTTTCTAATACGACCTACATTTTAATAAATCAGTTTCAGAATTTAAATAATCTTTAATTACTACAACAGTTACAACAACTGCTTAAATAACTTTAATAAACGGATAAAGACATTTTTCTTTATTAAGTATTAAGAGTGTACGGGAACCATACCATAGATTTTGTTTTTTTTTTGTATATTTATTGAAGGCCCTTTCAAAGATTTGTTATGGTTTAACGTTTTCAGAATGGCTTATTTATAGACAAACGAAATTATTATCCGATCTCACTCCAAAACGAATTGATTTTCGGCAAAAGTTGTTAGGAATTTCTGTTGAAAACTTTAGTCCATAGAGGAATCACTACACACTACTTTTTCTGTCCTCATTGGCCGCTAGTATCTATATCTATGTATTGCTTAAATCTTTAATGCCCGGTTCCTATATTTAACGAATCGTCGTTGTATACCTACGCATTACGACCAAATGACATTACGAATAGTTATCTTGACCGTCTACGGACGGTTAAAATATTTGTAGGAAAACCACAGACGCCATAGATCTCCATACAATTCGCTTACCGATATCCGTTAGTTGCAAACCGTCAGTAAGTTTCACGACGAAACGTTTATTATAGGAACGGTTTTAGCTTACGAGTCGTATATAAAACTACTATTCGTAATTAAAACGGATCGTTTCTCAATTATAGGAACCGGGCGTTAGACTACGCATCGGAATTTGTTTCGTTTTTTATAGATAAGTAGAGTGATTGAAGAGGGAGGTTTATATGTATAATAACACCCATTAAATGGTGGACCAAATATCAATAAGTAACTTTCTTCGATCTTTAAATATCTCAGCACAATTTTAATAAAAAAATGTTACCTTTAATAGCTCCCTGAAATAAGGACTGCAGGCTGACAATACGACTCGATGTGCCTTCAGACTCTTGCCATCGCAGGCCAGGGTGACATCGACGAAGTCCTCGTCATCTCGAAGGTTCTCGAAGGCGCTTGTGATACTGCTTTGGTAGTTGTTCCAGCGCAGGCAAAAATGCTGTGTGTCCACCATTTTGACGGCTATGGATTCATGTGTGATGTAATCTGTAAGTTAAGAATGGTATTAGTATTATTATAATAGTTCAGTTTTTCTTGCTTAAAATAAGTAGGTATCTTTTCGTTTTATGACAAACCTAGAGTAGACTATTTCTTAAAAATATGCAAGTGATTTTTTTATATGAAACATAATATGATATAGATTTTAAAGTATTTCTTTAATTCATTTAAGTAGTAACAAATAATTAAAAAAGGAACTGTTATTTTGTTTAAAAAGAGTTCGTATTCGAATAATTATTGTCAAAGCATTTATCTTAATTAGATCAATACTAGTTATTTTGCCTTTTAACTATGGAGTTTGGTGCTTGTAATTAATTCGGCCAGTTAATTTGTCAAGAAGTAAGTTGAAAAAACAGCAAAATAAATAGACAAGCTTGTATTACAACAAGACCATTTAGGTAATTGGTTCGTTTGTTAACTAAACTTTAGTACTTATTTTAACTAAGTCGATATAAAACTTATATTAATACAACTATGTACTTTAATCATAAAACATCGTGAGAAATCGTGTGAAAACCTGGACTTATAATTTGTAACTATAAGTTTGAAATCGCCAATCCGCCTTGAGCAAGCGTTTGAGCAACCAAGAAGGTTTGAGAATTAATCACTATTAATGCTACAAACCTTCTCCGCGTGAACAGAGGTCTTTGCTCAGCAGCACTTATAGTCTATGATGATGATAACTTTGATCATATAAATCTATGTACTAGCCGGACAACCAATTAAAATAGACATACATCCATAACAAGAAAATATATAAATAACAAAGTGGAGATTACAAAAAATAGGTCACTTGTGATAAATACTTTTTTCTTGTGTAGGTACCTAGTGTCATACAGAAATATTACAGTATTGATGTTCGTCCTATATTTTTTAAATAATTGCAATTACCCTATTGTGGAGATAAAATGTGAATTATGAGGTCCCGTTACTTTGTTATTTTGTTTTCAAAGTCGTCAGTATGTAGAGACGTGTCAAGTATTTTAAAAAATGGCTTCTATATGAATTTACTTATTATATGTAATATGTAAGATGTATCGATCAATGTAAACTATTGAAAACCGATTTATTAGGTAGTATGAAATGCAAGTATGTTTTTGTTAATTCTGAATATTTGTGCGTGTAAAATAAAGAACGTACGTTAAGTTTTGACAGGTACAAATAAGATAGGAATATAGCGAAATTTTACAAAGGAATTCTTTTTTTAAATAGTCAACGCATAATAAAAGACAATCATTCTAAGACCAAGTCTGAATACATCAAGAGCTGCGCATTTTACATTAGCTACATATTAATTTTTCTTCAAGTATTGTGTTCCAAATTCAAAGAGTTGTATTCGAAAAAAAGAAAGAACATCATTTGAAAAGGTTGAACAACAAAAAAGGTTTCGATTCCTCTATAGTCTATTGTTCGGTTTTCTTTTACCTTTCAAACAAAAGTTTCATGTTTGGATGTTGTTTTAATTTTTTTTAAGTAGGTATAATTATTTAGGCTTCTCGACTTTGCCGCAAGTTTTCAACTTCTCAGTTTTGTTGAGACAAAAAAATAATTGAGAACTAATATTTATGTGGTTTCATATTATTTCACTTTTCCATGAATTGGGAATGGGAGCAAGGTTTTCGTTGCTTGTTCTATTGTCGTTTAGTCCAGGGAAAATACACAGTTTCCTTTACACAAATGTTATGGCCTTCGTTTTTTGAAAAGCAATAATGTTGTATTATTTATTAATCTGTTTTGTTTGGCGAACCCTAAAGTTGACGAAACATTTTTATTTATTTACCTTTTTTCTAACAAATTCATTAAGAGTTTTTCACAACTATAGATAACTATAGTTCCTTTTCTATAAAATAACTTGCTATGGCATAATATACTCTAAAGAGGCAGGCTACGAAACTATTCCTACCATAAACTTTCCCGCCGATGCACTGAGGCAGAATAACTCGCCTTTTTTATTTTTTACAAGTTGCGCTAGGCGTCCTTTGATCACAGGTTTCTAAATAAAAGGTAAAGAACTAACCATGAATAGGTACTTAGTATCTCCACCATATTTTTTATGTTTTCATGTCGTACTAATACAAAAAATCATTATGCCAATGCATTGGATAAAAAATGTATTTATGTAGTTACATTTTCTCATAATATCTTCGATTACATATTTTGTTTCAGTCACATGTAGTCAGATTATAATGAAGAGTTTTGTACTCTATGCTCAGGACAAAGCCCGCCAAAAAAACAAGATGGCCGAATAAAATGGTTGCCCCCTTCCCGCCAACCTAGAAACGGTTATATAAAACATTGCATTATCTTGCATACACTATCTAGTGTTTCGATATTGTATTAAACATTTCTTATCAATGATAAGGACTTAGAAAAAACTATGATTAGGGCGGTATTAGGTGCATTATCTCAACGCTTGCCTGCACGGGGCGTATGCATGATGATAACAACTATTATTCTGATAATGTTTCAAACTTTTCACTTAAGAATTTTGTAAAATCATTATCAAATATATTCATGCCATGAGTCTAGTTAAATGATAATCCACACATATCATTTTTGTCTGATTATCTAAGTATCTTAAAGTTATCGGAATATAGGCAATGATTTGTTTTAAAATAAAAATATTAAAAGGTATACATAATAAAGATATTTAAAAGTAATACAAGAATTTTATATACTTAAGTAATTCATAAATGGAAACCGGAAATAATTATATTAATCTGTGGTCGTTTCTCAATGTACGTTTTTTTCTGTAAGTATATTTTATTCAGAATTCATAAAAGTAAAAAAGTGAGGTATGTAGGAAAAATACTACATTACCTGCCTGTTAATACACTTCTGTTTTTGGAAAAACATTTTAGAATAATATTATGTTTTGAAAAATTCTACAAAATATTCTCATGAAGAATCCCTCTGCTTCACCTTTCACTGCCCTCTATTTCTCACTAGCGCATTTCTTACATTCAAGAGAGCAAATTTAGTCGACACACACACAACACTACATCCACTCTTAACTATCTACACATAAGGGTCATTTCAGATTTTCATGATCGTAAAATTAAGTGTGTTTGACATGTAAGTTTGAAAACAAAAGTTAGACAATAAGAAAGACAGACGTTTGCATATTAGCTGACAATGATAGGTAATCGAGTTACCTGTTGGCATCCACTTCGAAGGAAAACAAGGGTTACAATGCAATTACCGGCTAGATTGCATACGCTAACTTAGTGAAAATTGACCCCAATTTAATGCTACATAAGTATCTAATTTGAGTTTCAGTTGAAGGTATTTATGACCTTTATTTGATATCTTAAGTTGCTATTTGTCTTTTGTTTTTAATTTTCATTTCATTATTAACATTTCAATTGTTACGATAAACCATTTGCTTTGAAAAAATATATCATATTCATTTCCAGTTTTAAGGATAAACTTGACATGAGTCCATCAAGAAATACAAAAGTTTACAAAAGTCAAACACTTATCGATTTTCTTTATTCAATTACATATAAAAGTAACTGACATATTTATTATATTTCCATTAAATAAAAAAATAACAAAAGATTAAAATGAATTTTGTTAAAATCTGAAAAATCTTTAGACGTAATAAATCAGCTCGTATTATTTTAAGAACCCCGTTACTGTCGCGAAATTCGTCGGACATATTCCTATATAATGTCACAGAATGTTAGCATATATACGTGTTTTGTTATAATTTTTAAATCTATCGTCATGCATACTAAGTATTTAAAACAAAAGCTTAGTTTCATACGGAAAAAATATAAGAGTCGGCTTTCTCAAGGCTGCTGATATGAACTATCCAGCGCATATAATTACTAATAAATAATATAATTACACATATTCAACGAATCACTATTTCACCTTGCAATAATTTTCCTATAATGTAGGATAATATTGTGTAAATAAGTGATTGCTATTGCAGTAAAATAATAAAATTGAATCTTGAAAAACCCATTACAGTATTTTGATTAGGCAAGAAACTGCACAGTTACAATAATGTCTACCTGATGATGCCTTGGTGCTCTTATCAAAAACTACTCCTAATATGGTATACCATGGAATAAAATCATTATCATCTTTTGGTTTTTGCTTCTTAATTACTTGGTTATTCCATTATACCCTATTAAAACTTAAATATTATTAAATCTTCTAAAAGCCGTTTTCGCAGCTTACTTCAATACTCCGCCAATCAAATATCTTTAAATAAGCCAGAACAAAATAGGTCACATTTATTAAAGGTCTTTATATAATATACCACCTAACCGAAGTGTGAAAAAGAAACATTAAACAAAAAATATATTTTAAATATGTCACCATGATAAATGGGAGATTCAAAATGCGACAAAACGCTTGTATTGAGACAGCCGTTGTTGGTGTGTGGCCCAAGTTATGAGAGTTCACGAGACTCTACCCGCTATTATCTAACAAATTTAAATATAGGTTAGTGAACCAATTCTTTGACAATTGTTTTCGCAATAATATCGTTACTAAGGAATAGTTTAAGTAATAATTAAATATGTCTGAGTGCGGCAGTAAGAATTTAGCAAGGCGTGATTTGATTACGGAACAACAACGATTATTTGTGATGGTCATAAATTGTTGTGAGTGTGACTGAATACTGGCTGTATTTGGGCTGGTTAATTTTAGGTGTAAAACTAAAAAAGATACCTAATACCTAGTCTAGGTCTATATAAAAACAAAATGTACCGAAAATATCTCATTATTATTTTATCTTTTTAATATGCTACGGTTTTTTTGTTTATTATTGTTTCGAACGAGAAAGATAAAAGTTATCCTCGCTGCACCCAGTTTTCCTCGAATTATCTTTGAAAGATTAATTAATCTCGATCAATTACTATGCTACTTTTAGAAAATTTAAATTGATTTGATAAATTTTGCAGTGTGGGTAACTATGTCAGAAATTTTGACAAAAATTGTGAGGAGAAGAAACGGCGTGGTTTTGTAGTCAGTAAGAGTTTGACACTCCCTCTCGCCCCCCACAAGAAGAGAAAAGTCAATTGATAGTTCCCTCCCGTCCCCATAAAAATTAGAACTTTTTATTAAATATGTATTATTAGCTTTTGCCCGCGACTCCGTTCGCGTGGAATAGTGACTTCCTGCAGATTTTTGGTATAAAAACTATCCTATGTCCTTAATCGAGTTTTAAACTATGTTTATACCAAATTTCATAGAAATCGGTTCAGTAGTTTAGGCGTGAAGAAAACATAGACAGACAGACAGAGTTACTTTCGCATTTATAATATTAGTTTGGAAGTTTGGATTGTGTTATATAAAAAAAATGTAGTGATATATTCAAACGTAAACATTTCCTTCAGTTGACTGCTATAATATGCATTAAAAATAGCACGGTCAAACGATTATCGCAGATTAGAAGATACCGTATCAAATCATTAATTTTTCTAGATTTATGTAATTTGAAATTGATTTTGATTTTCTAGGAAAGCATATATCAAATGTTTTAAAAAATTGACATCGTTTTAAATGGATGGTAATTAATATCTCTTAATTTAGTTTGATTTCTACTCGAGGTATTTTATTTGCAACTGATAGTTTTTTTTTAAAATTTTAATATGACCTTAAAATAGTAGGAACATGTGTCTCGAAAACCATAATAACAAAAAGACTTCTAAGTAGTCTTCAAAAAGCTCATAACTTAGACCCCATTACAAAATTCACGTCACTTGGAGGTCTTTCCAAAGAATTTGTTATGTGGTAGTAATCTTAAACCTTTGGGTACTTTGTGTTCATTTTGTAATGGTGTGAATGGCTCACTTAGGGTCCATTATATAGGCCTTTATTTATTTATATAAAGCACTAAGGGTGATATGATAAATTGGAAACGGTTTCCGAGAATATCGGTTAAAAATTATCATAGGAGAATATGATTGGTAGCCTAATGTGCGAATGTAATGTTGGTTTTATGATAACGTGTAGTAATCAATGAATATAGAAGTTGGTTACGCCTAAACGGCTGTTCCGAATCTGATTAAGTATGTAACGGGGGTAGATGAGACTCTGAAGACGGGATTTTGGTTTTTAGAGGTTTGAATAGAAAATATTATTTAGTTATAGGTACTTTAATAAACATACTAAGTAAGTATCTAGTTAAAGATCTCTACAGTAAAAAGAAACAGTACGTGTAGTTGTTTACTTGTAATATTTCTCGGAATACTAACATTGTAACAATTAGCTAAAAGCATACGAGTAAAATAATCAAACAAATATTAAGTGAATTAGACAAAATTGTGTACAGCGTCGCATTGCCTGATAGTCGAGTTTGTTATCAATGTATTTTTTTTTAGCAAATTTAGCGTTTTATCGGAGACCTAGGCACTGCGATATCTTATCACTTAGTTTAGGCTCCAACTGTTAGGTACTAGCGTTGTAAAATAATAACATGATCCATTTCAGCAGCTTTTTATATAAACATTTAAGTTATACATTTACCTCGTTGATAATTTCTTGAGTAACAATTTAATAAAAGAAATGGACCACCAATATATGTAAGTATGCTCATAACTGTCGAATGATTGCACCGAATTGGTATTTTATTTATTTGTCGTGGGTTGTATTCTTAGAATAAGATTTTTATGGGTTAAAAATAAGGTACATTGACCGGGATCATCGGGAAATAGCACCTGGAAGAGGCGGGCAGCAAGATTAAAAACACATTCTAGTTCTTATTTTGAAATTTTGCATAATATTCTTTGTATTATCAGCTAGTATTTTATTGTCTCTTTTGTCGGTCAGCATTGATTCAAACCACATTCTAAATAGGTTATTTTGTTAACGTCTGTAATTTTTCCTCTACTAGCTACCAATCGCGATTAAACACTTGAAGAATTAGAAATTAGTAGTAGTTTAATTCATATTATGGCTTATGTAAATTGTTCTTATGGGGGTCTACAGCAACAGCAGTGTGACTTTTTTATGCGTATGTATGTATATAGTATGGATGTTTTTTTTTCTGTTCGTACGTCTAGATCTGAAGTATTAAATATGGTTTTCCTATCGGACAATTATCAATAATTTATTTAATATAATTACCAAATAGATACACACGAAAACACTTATGTAACCAGCACATCAAGCTCTCACTATCTCTTATACATTTTCGACCTTAAACAATAACGATAAAGTCTACTTCTATAGTTGAGATTTGACAATTAAGTATATCTTTATGTGCGGTCTCTGCTAAGTCAAATAATATGTTTTCCGTGTTTTTCAAGGTTCATATAATATGTTGATGCGAATCTAATAGAACATTGGCTTGTTTAAATATTTGTGTGTCAGTTATAGGAACAGCTGTGTAAGTTGAGTACAGACTTTGAATTGGTTTTGAGAGTTTTTGGAAAAAGTATATATTTTTTTAAAGAATAGGAGGCAAACGAGCGTTCTCGCTCGTTTACATAGACACCTGAAACAGCAGAAGTCAGAGGCACGTTGTCGACCTTTCACCTGGATAGCTAGTGCAAGTGCAATGATGTACCGTGTCCGACTCAAAGCAAGAGAAAGAACGGGTTGGTTATTAGCCAGTATGAGTCTGAACCAACTATATGGCCTAATCTAGTAAATGGATGACTTTTCCTTTAAAAAAAGGATTCTAACAAAGTTTCAAGTAATAATTAATGTAGAACAAATCTGGTTTCAGTATTTTTTCACTAAATAATTCTTACAATGGTCTTTCTATAGATTACGATATGCTAAGCATCAGAAAACCTTTTAAACAGTTTATGACCGATCGGAACTTGAGATTAGAGTTTTAAAGATGTGCATCTTTCATATAGGTACGTATATAAAAACTCACAATCTACAATTAAAACAAGAAGATAACGGATGCGTTGTAATTGAACTGCAAACAGATGATATCATTTACCAATATCTTGAGAGCAAAAAGTCTAAATTTTTATTCTATCTAGCTTAGTGCAGGCTATCGCTATGACCTATTTATCTCAAATCGGTTTAATTAACAGCATCTGAATTAATACTGTATCAACCAATTGACATTTGAAATTTTATTTTTTTAGTTCATAATCGTTGTGTACAGTTTTTGGGGATATATAAAGGTGGTTTTGGTACCTAATGTTTATATTTTTTCGGTGGTGATATTATAAAATGCGTTGATAGTGTGATGTAGGTTATTTTTTTAATAGTTAGGTAAGTATAATATTTCGGTTCGCGTTAATTGGTTGGGATGTTGAACACGAGGTTTTCGGTTCGATCTGTAATCGAATAGTAAAAGGATTTATGCGTTTGTTTTAATTTATATTATCAGTATTAGTTTCTTTGCTTTGTTTTCATCGCTACATAGTATGAAACAAAGTCGCTTTCTCTGCCCCTATATCCCTATGTACATATGCTTAAATCTTTAAAACTACGCAACTGATTTTGATGCGGTTTTTTTGATAGATACGAGTGATTAAAGAAGAAGGTTTATATGTAGTAGTGAAGAAATTTAGTATTAGCATTGCACCTGTGCGAAGCCGGAGTGAGTCGCTAGTATCGTATATTTTTTTATAAGATTTCATAATAAATATTGTGTTGCACTTACCTTAAATATAACAGGGGGTCCTCTTAGCTTGTATTTGTTAACCTGAAACAATTAATAGTATATAGTTTAGCAACTAATATATTAAAAAACAGCTCCTAGAATAGAATAGCAATATTATTTATAAATCAGGCTCAACCGTTAAAGGTACTAAATGGCTTGGAAGTGTATGTAAAAAAGGATTCCTTTTAAAGAAGGATTGATCTTCCGGTAACCTCACTCACACGGCGAAACATAACTCAATGGTAGTTTCAAGTCGTTATTCTATGAGGCCGTGGTATCACTCCGGTCCAGTTTTTTTTATGTAATTGGTCGGCAAACGAGCAGACGGATTACCTGATGGTAAGCAATCAGCGCCGCCCATGGACACGCGCAACGGAGGAATTACGAGTGCGTTGCCGACCTTTTAGGGATTTGGAGATTTAGGGATTGAGGAGGGATTGGGGGCGGGGAAGGATTGGGCCTCCTTGTTTCAGTGTCTATTGCGTACAAACCAACAATACAATCTTTCCTCATTATAATATTATTGATTTATAGTGCTTGCATTGAAATAAATAGGTTTACTCTTAATGTCCAAACCTGCCTACAAGTCTGGGGAAAATAATACCTTAATTTACCGTGATCGGTCAGTTAAACATATGCATTATAAACCGTATTAAGTGTGATTGATTATTAGTCATTTCGAAGGTAACTATTGACGTAATTATATAGATGATTAGTACATTCAAATGTTACTATAATAATACAATTTCATTCCTGCGTTTATATACCTGTACTGAAATTTGATTTGAAAAAATATGTAACTTTATGCAATGTTCAATAAACAAGGTATTCCTGGTCCTTTTTGAAGACATAGGTCGGCAAACGAACATACCGAATACCTTATGGTAAGCAGTAAGGAGTTACGAGTACATTGCCGGCCCTTTGGAGATTAGGGCATCGGATATTTAAGGATTGGGGGAGGGTAAGGATAGGACCTCCGGTAACCTCATTCTTATGGCGAAACGTAACGTCGTCCTTGTTTCACGCCGGTTTTCTGTGAGGCCGTGGTATCACTCCAGTTTCCCATTTTTTTAACAACTTTATCATCCATGTAGATTTCACTAGGCAATGTAAGCCTAGCCTTCAATGAATACTAATGTACTACGTTCATATAAGAGAAAATATGTCAGAATCTGCTTACACAAGCTACCTGTATATAACAAAACCCGGCCCCACATGTTAACCTACATTTCCTGATCCAAGTTTTGCGGATAAAACCAGAAACTCAAATATACATGCCAACTAAAACAGGCCTTCATTCATAACAAACACATACACACGGTCAACACACACCCACACATGGAACGTGCACGCGTGATTGGACCACTTTCACTTTCGCTACAAGCCTACATAGTTTGAATACCGAGTGACGCTGCCCGATTGGTCGTTTCAACTTTGACCTTAAACGCGATTGGTTGAAATTTCTCATATGTAAGGATTATGTACGGAAGTGATATGGACTTATGTACGGTTTTGCCCGTAAAACCTTATTGTTTAGGTATTTTAAGGTCGCTATTTGTTTTAATAGCAAGACTTTTCCGTTTGGGGAGGTCGCGTGGGGATTTTAAAGGGTTAATTGCCGCCGCTTCTTATGTATATAGGCGTCGTCTTGTTCATTAAAACGCTCTGAAACTATATCGTTTGGGATTCGCAACCCAGGCTTCGTATTACTTGAGTAACGAAAAGAGAAAATTGTGAAATAATCAGTCGAATATACACATATGTGTAAAGATGTGTGATGTACCTATTATAGGTGACTTTCACGAATTAAAAGATGAACTTAAACAGATCTAATATGTATTTTATTATTTGTTACATGTCCAACGTTTAGTATATAATGAAAAAAGCCTTCATTATAAATTCTAGTGTTAGAAATCTGTTATCATTTAATAGAAGTCCCTATGTTAAAATCGTACATTTAAATACTTCCTTTACTACTACTAGACATATTCAAAACTCATAATTAACTAATTTTTCTATCACATCATATCTTCAGTCTCTAAGTGCCCACTGCTGAGCAAAGGCCTCTTCTCACACGGAGAAGGTTTGAGAATTAATCACCGCACTTGTTCAACGCGTAATTTTGATTAGTAATTTCTAATTAGAAATGTGTTTTCCTTCACCATTTCACCAGTGAACTTCTAAAGAATCAGAAGAAAAATACATTATGTAGATTCATTATATATTTTAACTACATATATGTACAAGACGTACCTATATACTAATTTATTATCTATTCAAACAAAGACTTGTTTCTTATGAAGTTATTTTTTTTTCTCATTCCTTAGTTCGGGGTCACAAGATAAAACATTAGGAGCTAAACTAGCCTCCTTACACTGGGTTCGCTTGTTATATTTATAATTACGTCATGTAACATGACCTAAGTTATCATCTTAATGTTAATATGTAATAAATTGTACATACTTTTTAACTAATTTAGTTCTCTAGTGTGATAGGAACACTATATAAAGTTATACTGTCAATTTTTTTATTTGTATTTTCTTGTTCTTTCTGTTATATTGTTTATCCACACTGGACATTTCTTCTGCGTCGTTGGTGCGTTTACAAACATACAATTTAACAAAGTTATTATTATTATTATTTGCTTTGTTGGTTGGCTTGTCGTAAACACAAATGCCAAGTGCTTTTGATTAGATTCCCAGGTCATACGAGATGTACTTTAGCAGCAGCGTGGCGTCTAAAGTTGTGTTTGGTAACAGCCCGGATTTATATACATAACGTGATGAAAGGAAAAAAAACATGGTGTAAGTTTATGATTGTCGTATTGTATGCAATTATATGCAATTTTACCTACTTACGTCGTTTGTATGAATGCACTTTCGAAACGGGGTTTTATTTATTTATGAATGGTTTTAGTAATATTTATTTACATTTAGGGGTATTATTCATAGAAATATTAATTTTAATTAGGTATTTTTCCTTTGAATAAAGACTATTTTTACTCTTTCCAGTAAAAACAAGTACTTATATTATTAATTACGCCAGTCAGCATATTTGGTATGTATGATAAAATTTAAATTTATACCTTATTACTTTTACGTAAGACATTATCTTGTAATACAATTATAATCTGAATATCCAAAAAACTGTGATGCACCTAATTTAAATTGTAGTATCTATCGTAGCTCTGTTTTAACTTAAGAAGTCGATTTCACCTTTTTTATCATAAAATAATATTTTATAAACAATAGGTACCCCTAATTGTAAGTTTATTTTAATTATTAGTAATGACATTATCGATAAAAAATCAACACTTACTCCATCGATACATTCACGTCGACGTTTGCAGCACATCCCTATTTTTATGCGATCGTAGGCCCGCCATTTGTCGACCTTAAGGTCAAAAAACTCTTAGAAAAATGTGTATAAGGAAGAGTGAACTCTTTATCACAGTTTTTATATAATAATAGTACTGTTATATGAAGTATTATAACATTTATTGCTTTTATATTATGATAAATTATAAGTAAGGAAAGCAAGACAAGTCATCGACCCCTTGACTGCTGTTGCATCTGCCTCAAAATATCCTTAAACGCAAATATTTTCTAATGATGTCATTATTATGATATAAAACGACACAGAAAACCACAATCATAGAAAAAATAGTATAGTTTATTGATTTACATAAAGATGACAGTCCTATATGTTTTTTTATATTCGATTTTAAGTGTGTAATTAAGTATATTTAATAATTTAGGAACATCAAAAATATTACAGTAATTGTGCAGATAGCATGGTTTTAGTCACCAAGCCAAACAAGGACCTGCAGTGTGATTCTGTAAGACTTCATTCTAAACTTCGAATCTGAATCCGCCGTAAGTATAGTACACTAGCGCTACACTTGCGAGTTGAACTGAATTGACAGCATCATTTTGAAAGATAAAGTATGAAATGACTTTAAAAGTGGCATTCTAAAATTTAATTTACCCGTCACTTCGACGCTCACTTCGCACTCGAACACGATTCAAAATCAAACAAATTTTATAGAATCGACGTGCTGGTAGCAACCGATGATGTGGTCCACTACAAAGCACGCCTACGTACAAGAAACCTACTCACTCGTATCTTGAAGACCCTCAAGTTGTACCTATATTTCAGGTTACACAGACTCTTACAACGAACTCGCCTCTTATAAAAACAAATCTATAATCAGAATAATGAAGAAATTTATAGAACCTAAGCTCTTATATACATATACATATCTAGTAGCTACACAAATACTAGGTAGGTACAATAAACGTAAATAAATATATCAACGGAGATTACGATTGTATAAATGTATGTCTGTTTATCTTATCACAATTCTTGCAATAGAATGGACATACCATATTTTTCTCTAGTATTTTTTTCAGATGCAGTTTTTGAATAAATTCTCTTTGAGCTAGCCCTTTTCATCCACTGCTGGATATAGGCTTCTTCGATGCATGCTGCTAAGCTAGATCTTCAGATATTGCGACTCCACCTAGCTGGAGTGCACCCTACACTAGGTTGGCCTAGACGCGGTCTCTACTCCAGAATAATTACTATCCTAACGGTCATCGGTTCTTCGACAAATATAACCTGACCACTATCACTTCAGCTTGCTGGTTGATATACATTACAGCTATGTGTGTCGTGAAAATATATTTCATTGTTCAACTAACATTTGGGACTACAAAGACCTCTGATAAATTTGAACTTGTAAAAATTGCGATCTCCAAATCGCCTGCCATGGGTGGAGATTTTGATACGCCCTCTTATGGCTTTATGGAGAGGAGGTTCGTACTCTACGAGTGGAGTATTCCAGGCTGTTACGGTGACCACCATCTACTCTGTAGAAATATCCTTAAAGTACTCCTAGTTCTCCAGTGCCTTGTTAAGTCTAACATTAATTAAGGGCAAGCCTATTGCCAAACTCCAGATGTCCCCAAGTTTGTTTGAAGTCGTTTTTAAAATTTGTCTATGCTCATAAGCAAATATTAATGCCACGTATTAAAAACGTT